TACATATTTGTTATTTAACTACATCAATTTATGGACAAATTGGAAGATGTAAATGTTTAGATTTATTTTAGCAGTTTACATTATTGGAATATGATTTTTTAGGCTCTATAATGAATGCCTAATATTGATATATATGTATTAATTTATATTGATGTATATTTTGGAGAATGGTTGTTGAATATATAGTGTTGTTTTATTAACTATGCTATTTGAAGGATTGTATGCACCGGTATGGGACAGTGGCATACTAGGGATGGATTAGTTCAAATACTAAGTCCTACCTATTCTGAATTGAGGTATGAATTAACCATAAAGGTTAAGTCCTACTCATATTTGTGTCATGTTAATAAAATAATTGAATAACCTACTTTGGTTTCTGGATGGATTGTTATACATATATCAGGGCACTATACCAGATGGATAATATTTTGTATTAGGAGTATATGAACTTTATATATTTATGTTATGGTGCCATGGTATGAGCTTGAGTCTCAGAACTATGGTTAGGGTGCATATATCGCCTAGGATGGATAACTGGACAGTAGTTGTTGTTCCCTGGTAGGTATAGGTACACATAACCACATTATATGCGATTTGCATGGTATCTCTACTCAGGCTGAGACAGACCTATTGGACTAGTGAGCGTTCTATAGTGTGTACTTATACATATATGGACTACTCTAGATATTGTTGAGCTAACTATGATGTATATGCGTATCGGGTTTCTGTATAGATCGTAATAGAATAGGACTTGCATGTGGGTCTGACCCACTCTCTTATTTTTCAAGTGCTCATCAGTTCCAGGGTTAAAGCTTGGTCGTGCAAAGTAGATATAGTCACTCATTCCCCCGACTACGTAGGACTATTTTCTATATTTAGCATTAGATTTTATTTTAGTTGTTTCAGTTTCAGTTTGGGATATTAATAGGGGTCCATGGGATGGATTTCCGAGTTATTATTATAATGGAGGTTTTGGATTATTGGATTTTAACATTATTACTTTGAGGATTTTATTTAATTAGAATTATTTTTAGCTTATTATTTTATTCTTATTTCATATTTGTATTATGTATTTATTTATATATTAATTGTCTAGTATCCCTCGAATCTGTGCTCAGACTTGATCACCCGTGACTCTAGAATCGAGGGGTATCACAACAGTGGTGAAAGGCGTCAGTGGTGGTGGAAGGTGCCGGTGATGATGAAGGTGGTGACAATGGCAGCGGTGGTAGCAAAGACGGTGGTGGATGTGATACCCCTCGATTCTAGAGCCACGGGTGATCAAGTCCGAGCACAGATCCGAAGGATACCAAATAATTAAGTATATAAACAAACATGAGTACAAGAGAATTAAAGAATAAATAATTAACAAGCTGAAAGAAATCTAAATGATAAATCCTCCAAGTATTACTAAAATAATCCAAAATTGCCAAAACCTCCAATATTATTACAACTAAGGAATCTATCTAGTAGACCCCTAATAATATCTCAACTGAAAAATAAATAATTGAACTAAAAAGAGAAACCAAAACTAAAACATAAGTAATAGTCCTACGTAGTCGGAGGAGTGAGTGATTGTCTTTGCTCAGCACGATTAAGTTCTAAGACTGGAATTGTCGAACACCTGAGAAAAATAATAGTGGGTCAGACTTACGAGCAAGTTCTACTATACTACAATCCAAACAGAAACCCGATACGTATGTACATCCTAAACAACTCAACAGTAACTATATAGTTCATATATATATATCCACACTAAGGGACTCTCACTGGACTACAAGGCGGTCTCAACCTGACTAGTAGACAACATGTAAAACGCACCTGAAGTAGGTATAAGTACCTAGACCTAACAGGTTACACCTCTAACCATCATAGCCAGCTATGTTTCCCATTGCATATACGCTCCCTAGCCATCGATCCTGAGACTCAAGTTCATATCGTGGTATCATAATCATATATATAAAAATCCATTCAAAACCAATGTAATGTCATTCAACTATTTGTTGACCTGACATGAATATAAGTAGGATTTAACTTTTATAGTTAATCCGTTCCCTTATTCCAGAATAGGTAGGATTTAGTATTTTGAACTAATCCATCCCCAATATGCCACCATCCCATACCGGTACATACAATCCACAAATCCAATAATTAATGAATTAAACAATAATAAATTTAAATATCAATTAATCCATAATAAACATAACAAAAATATGTAAAATAACATGATCCTTTTATGCCACTGATACATGATTAAGACTATATAATCATTCATAGAAAATTATTAAAATAATGATGAACAATTTAAATAGTCCATATAAAACAACAACATACAAATTTATTTAAAATTTCATATTGTTCCAGTTTATCGCACCATAAGATTTATTATGCATTAAAATACACTTTGGAATTTTAGTATGTCCTTCACTTAAATTCCCTACGAATAGGTCCTAATTAAATCTGGAAACCCAAATACCAAATCCTGTAGCCAAAATTTGTCAAAATCCATTAAATAGGGAAGAAGCCGCCTCCCCCTAAGGGGAGTAGCCTCCCCATCATGTAGAGCTGGCTCCCCACAAGGGGGAGCCGCTTCTTTGTAAAGGGAGCTGTCTCCCTTCAAAAGGGAGCCGGCTCTCCCCCTGTTTTGCACCATCTGCTTCACCTCTGGCGACTTACAGTCATTTCGTTCCTCTCTGTTAAGGTCCTTGATGGTCCTAACTAAGTCCCAGATTATTCTAAAAATTTAGCCAAATCCATTATACATTATTTACACCAATTAAAACAAGTATTCGTGCAAACAAATTCAAAATCAAGTAATTAAAATTTTATTAACATACATACTGTTTTTATCTGATTCCATCATGCATAAAAGATTAATTTAATATCCAATTACTTCTCGAATTGTTTTAGGCATGTAAAAAACACGAAGCCTAAGGGAGAGAGTTAGAATATAAACTTACCTTTAAGATTTTGGATTAAAATCTCAACGTCATCTTTCTAGATTTTCTGGCGACTTCTGATTACCATCTAGCCTTCTATTGTTCTGGTTCTAACCCACAAGCAATCTTTTCCTTCCTCCTTGGTCCGACCTTTAATCTATGGCCGAAACCCTAACTTGTTCTCTCCGTATATCACCCAGCCTCTGTGTGTTTTAACCCTTGGCAGACATATGATAACACATATATAGGCTTATACAAAACGGACCTTAATCCTAATTGCACCCTAAGTCTGCTAACTTAAGGGAAAAGAAAAATAAAAATAAAGGAATAAATACATATAAGTCTGTACGTGATAAAAAAAAGAAACATATATATATATATATATATGTATATATATATATATATATATATATGCAACTAACTAGAATTATTAATATTAATCATTTGAAATATTAATAAATATAATATCCATAAATATACATTTATACCCATATATATATGTACTACTATCCGTGGGTAGTAACTATACCCATTTAAATCTCCTATCCAAGTTGTCCATGAAACACAAATGGTTGGTTCATTACTACTATCCAAGCCCAACTTTTAAAAGAAATAAAATATAAACTAAACCTTTAAACTCTAACAATTTAACTACACATAACACACGTCATTAAATAACAGATAATTCAATTAAAGCATTTAAAATCAAATAAACCAACAAATTGCATTTAACCACTTAATTAAAATAAACATATAATAAAATCATCAATTAAACAATTCATTTAAACAAGTAAACAATTAAACAAATACCAAATAATCAAAATAATGAATTTAAAACTGCACTAAAATATAAAATAAATACCGAAATTATCCTTTTAAAATTAGGGGTATAACAGTGGAAGTCAGTGGTCGAATGTGGTAGTGGTGGAAGGCGGTGGCAGTGGTAGAATCGGTGGTGATGGTGGTGGTGGCAGTGACGGTGGTGAAAGGCAATGGAGTTGATGGTGATTGTGAAAGTCGGCAGTGGCGGTGGTTTTTGGACTCAAAGCATGAGGGTTTTTTGGGAATTTTATTTTTTAAAAAAAATTACTTAGGAATGGAATGACCATTCCATATATCTAGTTATGGAATGTATTTTCATTCTAATGGAATGGTTATTCCCACTTTAAATTGCATAACAAACAAAGGAATGGTTGGAATGGACATTCTATTTTATCATATTCCTGCACACCAAACGTAGCATAAATGTAGAATTATGAGGAGTGCTAGTGCGGTTGCCACTTCACACTTGCACACGTGTCATTAGCCTGTTGGTTGCTGACTTTAAATATATATTTTCAACCGATTTTCTCTCTCTCTCTCTTTCCAACCTTTATGAAAAGAGTATGCAAATTATATGTTGTTACAAAATTAAAAGTATTTTATTTTAATGGGTCCTATAACTGTATATAACCATGGGAGCAATAAATTTTTTCCAGAGAGAAGAGATATGTTTTTTTTTTTAATTTTTAAAAGTAGTTAAAGTCAGTAATTAATATGGCGTTGACATGTGTGAAGTGTGGAACCGTAGCACTCCTCTTAAATTACTCCCTCCCAAAAAAATAGCTCTTTTTGAAAAATGTGACAAAAGAGATATTTTTTATTTTTATTTTTTTTAAAGTAAGAAAGTATAAATTTATTATTAAAAAATAATACTCTCATGCATCTCAAATTAAATGTCCACTATTGTTAATTTATCTTTCTTATATGAGGAGACAAATTGTCCTCCCCTAAGCACGTTGAACTGCACTCTTTGTTTTTTATTATTATTTTTCCTTTATATCCATGACATTATGATTAATTTGAAGCTTTCGTGACTTCAATTTGTATGACCACAAGATCTTGGTGGTCTTAGTTAATTACCTGTTTCCTTCTCTCCCCTCCTATTTTGACCACAAAATTAAGTGACCCGCACGACACGTTTGGATGGCAAAGTCACGAGGATATAGCCTCCGACACGTGTCACGAGATGATTCCACGTTTAAAATTTCATTCAACGCCTCTTCCATTTATTTTTCTTTTAATTTTCTCTGCGATTTTAAGCGCCTCTACCACATTTATGATTTACCGGTATACTGAATCACACCGCTAACCATCTCTCTTTCTCTCCCTACCAATTGCAATGTCAACTGGTAACATCCTGCGAATTTCTCTCTTTCCTCACCCGAAGAATTGCTTTCACTACATCACAAGCTCTAGAGTTGACCGGCTTCAGTTCAATCTCTTGCCTTCTCAAAGACCACGTCGTAGTCATCTTTGTAGGCCACTCTTCGTCCCCAATCTCATTCGCGCGAAGGCCGTCGAGTTCAAAGCTCCGTCGCCGGAATTTCAAGAACAGAAGCAACAACGGGGAAATGAGTCCTCGGTGCTCCTCGACGTAACCGGAATGATGTGCGGCGCGTGCGTATCACGCGTCAAGTCGATATTATCCTCCGACGACCGTGTCCACTCGGCGGTGGTCAACATGTTGACCGAGACGGCGGCGATTCGTTTGAAGCCGGAGGCCGAGTTATCGGGCAATGTGGCTGAGGATTTCGCCCGGAGACTCACCGAGTGTGGATTTCCGTCGAAGAGGAGGGTTTCGGGGTTAGGAGTAGAAGAGAAGGTGAGGAAGTGGAAGGAAATGGAGGAAAGGAAGGCGGATTTGCTGGTGAAGAGTCGTAACAGAGTGGTTTTTGCTTGGACTTTGGTGGCTTTATGTTGTGGATCGCACGCTTCTCATATACTGCATTCTCTTGGAATTCATGTCGCTCATGGTAGGGAATAGACACACCAAAACACATTTTCCCTAATTCGTTACTGATTATATAATTTATATATGTGTATGTGCGTGCTCTCAATGCTAGCTAACAATGTACTCTGCGAAGTGCTTTTAATTCAATTTGTATTACTTTTTTGTTGGTTAAGGATCCTTTTGGGAGGCACTTCATAATCCGTATGTCAAAGGTGGTTTGGCTTTGGGGGCTCTGTTGGGACCAGGACGAGGTTAGTTAGTTGGTACTTGATTGCTTGATCTTTTTTACATTGCTGGTTCAAATTTTGATTTTCGCAAAACACACAGACAAATTTTGTATTGTGCAAATTGCAATGCATGTGAGATTTGGTCCAAACATACATTCTGAGACAGAGAAAAGATTTTGTTGATAAATGAAATAGGTTGAATTATGAATGCAGGGGTTTCATGTGTGCCTCCAGTATACTTTATGTCAATTTTAGATTTCTTCCATTAATTGTTAAAGGTGCTTTAATGTTAGCATTTTCGTGGATGATGAACGATAACATTTTAGAGTACGTTTCCATATGCCAATTCATGGTCACAAGGTTGTACATAGTGTGAAAAAGACAAATTCTAATTTGGACTTCTTAATTCTTCCGTATTATCTGATTCAAGTAGTCTATGGAATGAGAAATTTAAGGTTGATCGGTTACCGTAGCTCACTTGCCTACTGTAGCCAAATCAAGTGCTTTTATTATTAGGAGTTCCTGGACAATAATTCATAGTTAAAAGAGAAGGCATCAGTTTATAGAGCATATTAATCTCTGTACATTGCTACAACCATTGTGTAATCCATTGCCTTCTGAGTTCTGAAAGGCTCTTGTGGAGATCTAGCTTGGTGCTTGTTGGTAGAGGTTGAGACCTTTATTCTCAGTGCTCAATCTGTTCGAATCATGGAAGTGTAACATCCAATTGGGAAGGGTGTAAAAATTTAAGGTAATGTTCTAGTGCAAATATACTGTTGATTTGGAGATACTTTTGAAATTACGTTGCGGAAGTATTCTTTAATCAGTTTCAGGTGTAAAAGTCAATCTACAGATACACTCTAGATTATTCTCATTGATTTACTGTAACCAATGGGAAAGTCTATTATTCTTTTAATTTTATTTCATACATACTTTCTCTCTTGCCAACTGGATTGGCTCAAGTATTGCCATGTTTCAATTTAATTTTTTGTTGCCATTATCTTATGATTCATTTGTATTGGATCTCTGTACCCAATGAAATCTGCAGTTTACTTGTTAAATCTTATAACTACAAATTAAATTCAACAGTAATATATTTTTTGGCCAACCTTTTTTTATTTCAGTCCCTTGGTGTTGCCAATTGCAAGAGTTTATGGTTGACTCTTTATTGTACTGTGTAAACCTTAAGTTCAATTCAATAATTTGATTGATTTAAAAAATAATGTTTGTTGTAGACTTACTTTTTGATGGTCTAAGGGCATTTACAAAGGGATCACCAAATATGAATTCTCTTGTGGGCTTTGGATCTATTGCTGCATTTATCATAAGTACGGTGAGGCTCTTCTAGAAGCTGAGTTTGAGGTTTTTTTGCATTGAATGATGATTATATTTTGCTTTCTATTACTCATTTTGTAGTATTCATAGGTTTTTCTCTTTTGTAGGTCTCACTTCTTAACCCAGGGCTTGAATGGGATGCGTCATTCTTTGATGAACCGGTGACTTCTTTTACTGTAGCTCTTTGCATCACTTAATCAATGAAGATTCTATTTACTATTCACACGATTCTAACTTAGTAACTACACAATCCATTTAACCAATGCAATATTTGGAAAGGTAGTTCCATCAGGACTTCAATTATATCTTTATGATCTTTTTTTCTCCATCACCTTTCACATATATGTTAGGCACGTGTGTTATTAAAGGTGACGTGGCCTATATTGCCACACTACAATGGCATTCTGACATCCCTTTACAGTTTTGGTATTCAGACATATCCCCCACAGTTTTGGGAAGTTATGTAAAAGGTGTGGTTTTGGGACCCAGCTTTAGAACCACTTTGTCCACATAAGAGGGGCAGCCACATTTCCCCCCTCTAGGCTATACGGGAAGGTCCATTTGGTTAGACATATACGCCCTCAAAAGCCAATAAATTTTTTTTTATTGGCTTATTTAATTATGGATTCTATTATTTTTTTTGATAAGTATTAATTATGGATTCTATTATTACATTGTCTACATGCATGTTTAAATTATATAAGTGTTATATTATTTACGCCCTAACATTAAGTTGTAGGAAGTACTTAGTTATTATTGGAGAATTATAAAGATAAGCCAAAAAAATTCGGTTCCTCTGTAACTTTATTTTGTTTTTAGTCATGAGGGAAGAGGCAGACACTTCACTTGTAGACTAATATATATTATGTTGATGCATTTATGTAATAGTGTGTCTTAACCATTGGAATAGTGATCCTTAAGCGGATATATGGATACATATAAGGAGGTATATGTATTGTATTGGATCTAGAACAAGTTTTTTAATTGATCATTGTCAAGGAAAATGAAGTGATACTTGTAAATTGGTCATTAGACTTGAGAAGATAATATGACTTTTATGATTTCTTGTTAAACTTTGAGATTGTCAACCGGTGATGCTCAATTGGAAGCTATATACGAGCATGATTGGGTTGTATAGATCTTCAACGTGGAATTTATACTTGTTTTAATTTACAATGATGTTATTCTAGGAATTCTTAAATGGACTGGGTTTATTAAATCCGGTCGGTATGATTTGATGAAGTGTTAATCAATGTAGTTGTTATTATCCTTGTGGCTTATATTGGAATAAAGAAGAGTGAAAGGACCTATTAGCAAACAAGTGCTAGAAAGGACTCACCTACTCAGTATCTAGGGTTACCTTGTAAATATGTTGGTGGAAAATTTTGCAATTATGGGCTTTTTGTTCCCTATTTATTACTCCCTCCGTCCGAATTTAATTGTCCATCTTCCCTTTTTGGGTTGTCCAAGATACTTGTCCAATGCATCTTATATATATAATTAAGTTGGAAATTTTGAAAACTTCAAGGGTATTTATAGAAAGATGTTGTAGACACAAACGTAAAAGGATAACTTGGTAAAATTTTTTTGATAAGTAAGATTTCATTAAACGACGCTCAAAAGGGGAGTGAACCCTAAGAAATACAAAGACGCCCATGTCGACACTATAATTTCAAACTATCCATAAAAAACTTGTTAATTTTAAAGGGAGACGATGCATTAATGCTTTTTTCCTTAAAAAGTTCTACTCCTCAAAAGGGACAACTAATATGAGACGGCTCCCCAAAAGGGACAACTAATATGGGATAGAGGGAGTACGAGGTAAATATGGAATAAAATCTAACGAGGACCAGCAGCCATAATTTTTTTCTAGTTGGAGAACTAGTGGGCTCCATAGCTAGAGAGTTGGTTCCCTATAAGACTCCATGCATGGGGTCTCTCTAAACAGATTTTTCTTACGGGGAAAATGATTTGGAATTCGAAAGTTGGACAACTCCGGCTGATTTATGTGAGTGGGGACTGGGGGCTGACGGCATCATAATTTCATTAATATTCCTCAACCCCTATTCACATATAATTAGTCAGATTTGTTGGACTGTCGGACTCTCTATCATTACTCTTTTTGAGAACTAATACTCTGTTTGATATCCCACAAATGTTTTAGTGGCAGGTGGGATATTTTAATAAATGTTTGACCATTAACTTTGTTTAGACGTTTCATATACGTTATGTATAATTGAGAAATTTCCAGAAAGTAGGAGAGCTTAAGTCAACTTGAGAGTGAAAGCAGTAGCCCAATTGCTGGTTGTGAACAGAATACGAATTCATCCCCCATAAACTATAAGTTTAAAATATCGTTTTGATTGTAGGAAATCTCAAATCCAACAATTAGATTTTAGATTGGTCTCTCTTGTGGAAAGGGATTCTCTCTAGTGCACTGGGGACGGTGGGGATCACCCCACGCTTGGGGTGATCCTCACTGTCCAAAATGCACTAGAGAGTATCCAAGTCCCACTTTTGCAATTGATTTTTTGGTTGTCATTTGCAGTTCATGCTAGTGAGATCTTTCATAATCTTTGCATTGAAATCCGCCCTTATTGTTGAAGATACAATATTTGTTGTCAAACGAAAGGGCTAATTACAGAAGCGTTATGGGGAAAGATGATTAAGAATATAGCTTGTGAAATCAAATAAGATCGTTATTTCAGCGATTCTCATTTTATTGGCATGTTGTGTGTCTTGGCTGCCTGGCATTCTATCCCGAAAATCTTGATCAAACAGCACTCTTAAAACATAAAAAAGCGATGAGTGGTTCCAATATGGAAGGGACTATGTCTCAACTGTATTGGTGATACGGGCCAAAATACAGCTACTGAAAAGATACTGTTCTCCAATATTTTGGTGTAGCTATTGTTTATTTAGATGGCCAGTCTACTTGTTCATGAGAAAACTTGCTTGTGATTGAACCATGCTTATTGAACAACACTTGTCAGAAAGTTGCTTCTTGCCCCCTCTATGGCCCCCCATTTGTATGAAATAACAAGATGTCTCGAGCTTATGGGCCTCATGATCCCTCTAGCTGTATTCTAGGAGTTGGTTGGCTAACCTTACTCCCTCCTGGAAACCTTAGGTTGAATGAATGGATTCTTAATTTGATTGATAAGATTATCCCACAAGGTAAGAGGAGAGACCCTTGAAAGCTCTACCACCACTATCAGATTTTCCTGGTTCATCACTCTTCTCGGCGTAGGAGGCGAATCTAGTGTTTCACATTCAAGTCAGCTTTTGACCCAACAAAGCTTATCCAATGCACGCACCAAGGCTGAAGCCTCACTTCAGACTATGTTACTTACACAAGTCAAATATTGTATAATTGTTTGGTTTGCACCTTGTCTAAAGTTGTCTCTCACAATTCTTATTGTTGGTCCTTGGCGCAAAGGCCAGTGCATGGAACCAAAAGAATCTGAAGAGGGGATCTCTTTCCCAAAGTCCAAAAGATACGTTCGAGCCATGAGTGGTGCAGACAGAAAGTAGATATCAGCCTTCTATTCCTATTGGCTTGATGTTTACCCAGACAGACACAATTGATCTTAACTAACTATTTAGTCAGCTATGTAAATCCATTGAGGTGATATTATTCCATATTGGGTTGTGTTTTCTCATTTAAGAGGTCTTTTCTTACATTCTTATTACATCCTTTCCTTGTCCTTGTTGAGGATTCATTTTACATCCTATTGCTCCCTCAAGTACTGTATCTTTTCTATGAGTGGTCATGATTTACTTGTGGAACAATGTTAAGTCTCCATATGTGGTACACCAATAGTTGATAAAATTCTTGTCCATTATTATTATTATTGATTTATGGTAATCTGGCTTGTGAAATTTAGCGTTTTTTTTTTTTTTTTTTTTTTTTTTTTTTTTTTTTTTTTTTTTTTTTACCTTAACTCCCAGATTACCTTTTAGTAAAAATGATGTATGTTCTAAAATCGCCTTTCTTCATGATAACACTATTTACTATATGAATTGTATCTCTATTTATTGGACATCTAATATGTTCGGTTTCCACTATAAATAAGCTTCTCATACAGAGGTAATTTTTTTTAGCATACAGGTCATGCTTCTCGGATTCGTGCTCCTTGGACGTTCTCTCGAAGAGAAGGCAAGGATCAGTGCATCTAGTGATATGAACGAACTTTTAGTGAGTTACAATATGTCTCGTATCTGTTTCTTGTAGAGATAAAAGTGATGCTTGCTTAAATCCTTTTACTGGAACATGACCTTCATCTCGGCCTTGTTAAGTTGTGTTTTCTTCTGAACATGGTCTATTGTAATCCTAGAACATCTTTTACTGTAGTAAGAGTACAATATGCTTATGACCTCCCATTCTACAAAATTCCAGGATATGGACCAACATAAATTTATTTTGGTGGGACATAATCATAACATTTACTTAGATGGATGAGATTTGATTATTTCTAGTTTCTTTGTGCATTTAATTGAAGTGAATGATCCACAAGTCTTGTACAGAAGGACTAGAGGCCAACATTTTTGTTGGATTAAAGTTCAAACAGAAACTTTGAGATTAGCTGCAAGTGGAGAAAATTTATTTTACATTTTGTTGGAACCTTCTAAAGATTTTGTAGATGGGATTGTCATTGTGTAGTATGATGTTTAACTTTGTTTCTTTACATGGTGTATTTTGAGATATAACTTGAAAATAGTTTTATTCACCAGGAACGACCTGTTCAATTTGGAGAAAGATGGTGGGGGTTTGTAACTTTCTGGTATTGTTAGGGGAAAAAATGCAGTTTCATATGCCTAAAATTTAAAATCATCTTGTTTTTAAAGGTGTTTCTCATTCAAGTTTGACACAAGAAGTCTAAGATGCATTAACTTATCAAAAAAGAAGAAGTCTAAGATGCATTAACTTGTCAAAAAAGACGAATTCTAAGATGCATTACTTCCCGTACTTGCTTCTTCTATTGTTTTCTTATGCTTTATTTGTAGTTTTTGTCTGTTCAATTGAACTTATATCAGTAGCGAACTTTGGCTTTGGCAATAGCCAACTTGTAGCTACTATATTTGGTGTTGTGTTGGCAAAAATGTTGACAGTTTCATATGCCTAAAATTTAAAATCATCTTGTTTTTAAAGGTGTTTCTCATTCAAGTTTGACACAAGAAGTCTAAGATGCATTAACTTATCAAAAAAGAAGAAGTCTAAGATGCATTAACTTGTCAAAAAAGACGAATTCTAAGATGCATTACTTCCCGTACTTGCTTCTTCTATTGTTTGATGCACTTTATGCATTGCATTCAGCATAGTTACGGAAACAAGTGCATCATGCTAGTCTAAACACTGGTGAATAAGCAACGCTTTAGTACTTATCAAAAAAAAAAAAAAAAAAGCAACGCTTTAGTAAAATAATGAAGCAAGACACTTTCAGTGGATTGAACACTATAAAAAACTCACTTCTTTTATATTCCAATTTTTTCATTGCCTAATGACAAAAGCAAGACATCAATAAGATTTTATGTTTTTTATATTAATACATGATCTTACTGTACATGCTAAATATGCTAGTTATTACATGTATGAAATGATTAGTTTTCACTGCTAAGACTTACTGTGAGCTAAGAGTCACTGCGTGTATATTTCAATCTGATCACTAGATTGAACTATATGCTGATATCTGTGCATTAAAATTATTAACAGGGGTGCTTCCCCTCATTTGGATGTTTATGTTATCTGTGAACTTCTTTTGATCACCATCACTGGATACTCTGCAGTCATTGATATCCACTAAATCACGACTTATAATTACTCCCTCGGGAAGTGATTCCTCTGCTGATGGTGTCCTTTGCTCGGATTCAATTTGCATTGAAGTCCCTACTGATGATATTCGAGTTGGAGACTCAGTGTTGGTTTTGCCTGGAGAAACTATACCTGTGGATGTAAGCAATTCAAATTCTTTTCTTTGAACTTTCCCATGTTTTCAAGTCATAATGGGAACAATGTGGAAATCTGTAAGTAGCACCTTATGCCGTGTGATGTTTATTCCTCACCCTTTATTAGTAGACCATAGTGCAAATCACTTATTGCATTGAACCAGGCCCTTGTATCTGTATCTGGTGTGCAATGTACAGTAACTAGAGTCATATTCAGGTTAGAACCATTTTAAGCGCCATATTTACTTGCCAAAGAATTGTATCCGCTTTGTAGTTGTCTGTTAAAAGTAGAGATGTAAAACGGGCTGGACCTGCCTGGAAAGGCTCCAGCAAAATCTTCGGGCTAGGACAAATTCAAACCAAAGCCCAGGCTCCTAGGCCAGGGGCCCCGCGGGGGGGGGGGGGGGGGGGGGGTTGGTAGGGGGTTCCGATCTTTGAAAAAAATAGATTGTTAATTTTTTGTTAAAATTAATAAAAAATCAATTTATTACTCATAAAGCTTAACAATTCTTACATTACAATTTATTATTATTTTTACTTGTTAACTTCATGGCTTGCAAATTATTTTTAACTTTAAAAATATAACTTATTAGTCATTATGTTAACTGTAATTATATATGGCATATATATATAACACTTGCTAACACATCAATTCAGCTGTAATACTAATAACTTTATATGAATTTTCAGTTCTATAAAGTTATAGGTATTCCTTTAAAAGTGTTATAAAATTTTATCAAGTATCTATAAGTATATATATGACACGTGTTAAAAAGAAAAATAAATTACCTTTAATTGGGCATGCTTGAAAGCTGGCATGGTGACACCCACTGCGGCAGGCATGGCCGTGCTGAGCTGACCTCAGCCAGGCTAAGCCTCCAAGGTGAAAGCCCAGGCCTTGCCCCCAGGGAAATTGGGCTTGGTCTGATCCGGGCATTCCTTGGGCTTGGGCTGGGCCTTGGTCTGGAAAAATCAGGGCTACCAGGGCTGCAGATTACAGGCCAATTTTATACTTCTTGTCTCAAAGGTAATAGTTGTTAAACCTCAGCAGTTACTCTGCTGTTTACAACAGTGACTGCAGTTTCTGTCTTCGGTGTACTTTTTAGAAGTTCTTTGACAAAGCCTTTCTTTCTTGATTTGGATGAATCAGTAAATCTTTATTTGGAATTAATTGAATGCCATTCAATTACTACCCAGTCCAGAAAACCCATATATCATCCTAAAAAGATTGCCAAATATCCTGAAGGCATAAATTTCAGTTTTGGATCCGGTTGCTTCTTTCCTTTCATATATCTAAAATATAAAAGTCTGTTTGCTGAATGGTAAAATGAATTGTCTATGCAGGGGAGAGTTATGGCAGGACGAAGTGTTGTGGACGAGTCCATGCTCACTGGAGAATCCCTTCCTGTATTTAAGGAAGAAGGCCTAACAGTCTCATCTGGAACAATAAATTGGGTATTGTTATGTTCAAAGATATAATATTGTAGACATGTTAGATACATTATCATTTCAAGTAGGTTTGATAATAATGTTCAAGCTCAAACTATGTGTCCAAGGAAAGGTTTTGATATCATGTAGAAGTTCTATCTAGATACTGGACTTCCATCAAAACTTAAAAATGGTCAGAGATTCTTCATGGTTGAAGATTGAAATGGAAGAAATCCACCCCCCCCCATCCCCCCCCCCCCCCCCCCCCCCCCCCCGTGGCCCACTTATCTTTATGCACATTCAGGATAGCTGAAAGAACACTGATTAGTGTTTTATTTCTTATTTTTTATGTTAGGAAGTAGGATAGGTCAAGTGTTGTCTTGTTGAATAGCTGCACTCTGGCTGATGGCATCATTATGGATAAATTGCAAAATCTCCTTTGAACTAATAACCCCTAACATGGTAAACAAACACTCTAAACTATTAGAAATGTGCAATTAGGGCCAATATGTCAGATTGCCATTAGTAGCTATGCATAATTTTGGAAAGGGGTACAGTAAGAGAGAGATAGACCGGGATAAGAAATAGAGAGAGAAGTATGAGAAGATGATGGTAGGTGTCAGCCTTGTTTCCGCAGGAGGTGGTGTTGGTTATAGTCGGTCTCTGTGGAGTTGGAGTCTTCTTTTTATAGAGAGAAAACAGTATGAAAAAAGAAGAAAGAAAGAAGGGAAATTTTAGAGAGAGAAAGCGAGTCGAGTGGAGAGGGCAATGGGCATCTGGTGGGGTTGGAGATAGGCTCTACGCCATTGGAGGGATGATGGAAAGGACTTTTGCAGTCCATAATAGAGAGGAAGTAGAAAGATAGGAAGAATGGTAATGAATTTAACATGGGTAAGAAAGACTTTTTAATCTTATTATACGGTTAAATATATCTTATACTTTTTGGTAAAAAATGGATAAATTGTTGTGTTCTACAAATTTATCAACAAAAAAAAGAAAGAAAGAAGGGGTTTTACTAGCTTGGATCATCACAAATGGGTCAAAGGCATAATCGTTAATAACTTAATAACAGGGTGTAATGGTCTTAATAGGAAAAATATTAGTCATCCGCATTACATGGCTTATTCCTTTTCTTAAAACCACGATTTGACGGCATATCGGACAATTTGCCATATCAGCCTGAAAATTAGTTAAGGTGATTATTTGCAGAAAAACTAATAGTTCATGGGATTGTTTTTCGATTTTCCCTATCATTATTTCTGATCAACATTTGCTCCCCATAAACAAAATTGTGAACACTCACAACATTGAAATGTATATGTCATATTTCTTTGAGTGCTTAATTACAGCATTGTTTAAGCTTAAAATGCATCTGCTATTTTTGTTTCAGGATGGCCCTTTAAGGATTGAAGCCTCTTCCTCGGGCTCTAACTCAACAATAACGAAGATTGTCCGCATGGTTAGTAAAAGATATATATATATTTTTATTATTATTTTTATTAATGATGCGCGCATTAGTGATTTTAAAAGATGACAACTAAGGTTCAAGGCTAAGGATTGTAGTCAATTTTCTTTCCATGTTTTGTGACTCATGTCACCTGCTTAAGAACAAATTTGCATTTATATTATGTAGTAGGTATATCACGCAATTGGAATTCAACAAATTTGAATTCAGTGGTAGTTGTTTTAGTTACTCTTTATTTTTTAGTTAATTGCAGAGAGCTACAACACCATTTTTCTTAACGATAAAATATTGAGTTGAATACATGTCTTATATACCCTCCATTCCCTACTAATAGTTGATAATGTCGATTCTGACTAAAGTTGGTAACTACTTGTGATCAAGGACATTTTCCCCAAAAGTTTTGGCCTGATTATTTGAAGGCACTCCACTAGGCTTCCTTGTGCACATTAGTAATTGTGGTATTAACAATGAAGGGCTTCAGTCTGTCATCTTCTCATTCCTTGCTCTATTGCACCCAATTCGTGGTACTTCATATTTGTCCTCCATTGTTATATCTTAAGCATCCCAAGTTGGTAGAAGATCTTTTTAAGAGTTGGTAGTTTAAGATCTTTTTCTTGGAAATGAATGAGAAAAAAAATATTAGGAAAAAAAAATTGGACACAACTACAACCCTGACTAATCGGCAAAAGCAAAAGGACCCAACCCAAAATACAATGAAGAAACTCAAATGCAAGGGAGAATGCTCCCTAGCTGGCTTTAGGATCTCTAACTAACTAATGGCTTATGCACGGAAGACCTCTCTCACTCACTCTCTCTCTCTCTCTCTCTCTCTCTCTCTCTCTCTGTGGTATTGTGTATGGAAAGACGATGATAATAGACATTCTAAGATCCACAGATTTCTTTTATGACAGTGAATATATTATTTTAAAACACATGTATTAATTACTGGGTGTCAGATTCCCAAAGAGGTTTATTTCTCTGCTTATAAATTTGAAGATTGTTCATGTTAGGCCTGTTAATTTTCCTATCATTGCTTAGGTCATGCTGCCCTATTCTTTCTGCCCTGTATATACTTTGCACTTGTGTCTAGCCCTTTTTTCTTCTAAAATATTAAGCTTGTTCGACTTGTATGAATAGTTTCTGCCATTTATAAATATTAGTGTTGTAATTTTCAGGTTGAGGATGCTCAAGGTCATGAAGCACCCATACAAAGGCTTGCGGATTCAATTGCTGGGCCATTTGTATACAGTATAATGACTTTATCAGCGGCAACATTTGCCTTTTGGTACTCGTTTGCTCCTTCACTTGTTTTTCATTTTATGGATGTTTGAAACTTGATGACATTAAAAGTGGAACTTGAAGAGCACTTACAGGGTATTGAGAGAAAGAACCTGATAGAATTATAAAGAAACTGATGGATCACATCCTTTTTAGATAGAAGATGGATCTCAAGCTTTGACAATAGGCGTCTTATCTATCTGGCGATTGGCTACTAAGGTCAGGTTTAAACCTTTTGCCCAACCAATGGCGAGATCTCTGGTTGAATTATAAGCCATTGCCACTATACATAACTTCATTCCACAATTTTATACCTGTCATGGTTGTGCCTTTAACTCGAACTATCCAACTCCAATCCATGTGTCGTCATCCTTCTTTAGTCCTAATAGAAGCTTACTTTTCAATTATATCATTTCCTTCTCCTATCACTCATTTATTTGGCCTTACTATTTCAGGCATACTAATTTTGAAAGTTTTAAGAAATTCTTGCTCCCCAACACTATAATGTTGTTTGCCTGAGTTTGAAGCCTACTTACGAAAAGTTCTTTTTGATCTCATTGGTATTTGGCTATGTAAACACACTTCAAAAGCAGTTCTCCACTTCCCATGTCGAATTTCATTTCAGTGTATGTTATGGCATATCATGACTTTATTCATTCTTTACATTCTAGTTTTTAATTACATTCCATGTATCTTCTCTCACACAGTCATCTTGAAGCCTCTCGATTTTCGACCTTTTGTGCCTCTAATTTGATCTTTATCCTTACTATAGACTTGATGAATAAATTTCTTTCTTTAGAAAACAATATAAGCCTTCTGGGCTCTAATTAAATATGTCTAGTCAGTTGTCATCCATCAACAACACAAATAAAAAGGGGCTCAATGCCAAATCTTGATGAAGCCTAGTTCCATTAAAAGCTCATTTGTCTCTTCTCGATCTGTCCCAATGCTAGTTCAAACCTTTCTGTGCTTATCCTTGATCATACCAAAATATTTTCTTATACCTTATTTGTTTTTATTGAAAGCCACCTCATTATCTATTTCGGGACCCTATCAAGACCCTTTCTCTTAGTCAATAATACAATTTGGAGGTCATTTCTCTGCTCTATGAACTTTTAATCTTTCAGAGGAAACAAATTCAAGGGCAGGTTTCCTCTCTTGAAGCCAAACACAATTACGACACTCTTGTTTTCTGTCTTAATATATTTTATACCACTCTATACTGAAGATGATCACAACAACAATGATGATGATGGTGACGACAGGGACTAAAGTTGTGATTTATTTAATTTTACAAAATCATGTGTGTAGCTGCTTGCCGCATGTTCATTACTGCTCATCTTTGTTAAGGTACTGCATTGGGACGCATGTCTTTCCAGATGTATTGCTTAATGATATTGCTGGGCCAGATGGAAATCCTTTACTTTTGAGCTTGAAGCTTTCTGTGGATGTCTTGGTGAGTCATGTTGAAATGATGAAGCAAACTAATAATATCTTCTCCAACTTGATATCTAAAATCTATTTGCTGGAATTTCATATCTTTCATCTCTTTCATCTTATATTTTGCATTGGATACCATTTTTCTACAAATGATTTGCTGCATCCACCAATTTGTCACTTCCATTAATGATATGCATCACATGTGATGATAGTTGTAGTGGATAAATGGGGGAAAAAAAAACTGTGATAATTGTCCCTCCCTTTGGAATATGGTGCACACATTTGCCGGATGGCTGGTAAAGTACTTGCTAGATCACTTGCTGAAAGCTTCTTAGGAAAAGGGGGCAAGTACAATGGAGTATTTTAATGGGACGTTAGTTTTTTATGTCTTCCTTATAATAATTATCATTCTTTATGATGCTTATTTCATTAATTATCTCTTTATTTATTGTTGAAAATTGAAAGTTTATAAGTCAAAACCAATTGGAGGGGTAAAAATTCTTTGGTTTCTAGAATTGACCAAAAAAAATGCTGGAGCAACAAGGTTGCTCAAATTACTGACAAACAAAAAATTGGAGAGTTTGCATGTCATGCATACAAGTGGTCTTTATTTCAAGAATAGGCATCAACATGGATTGATTTGCATTGTCATGAGTGGGGAAAGATACCATCAACCCATAATGTTTGGTTACATTCTTCAAAAACTGGCATGCATTTGAGTACTTAGTGTATGTAGACTTAGCTTTAATGGGAACGTTCATCTACATAAAGTCTGCAATCTTCTTGAGAAGTTCAGAAAAAATTATACATGTTCAAGTTATACTTTGACTTGGTAACATTAGTTTCTTCTCCAGGTAGTCTCCTGCCCATGTGCACTGGGCCTTGCCACACCCACAGCAATCCTTGTTGGCACCTCTGTTGGTACATCATCAAACTTGTTCACTCCTCTCTTTATTTTGAAGTCTATAGTGAATGATATTTAAAAATATAACAGCTAATGTGGTGGGATTTGTACTGATTATAGCATGCAAGTTATTCCCTATCATCTTGTAATTCACCTGTTGTTTGTTACTACCACTGGTAATTTTTTTTGTTTCTTTTCCATTGAAATAGTTGAAATATTCTCATTTCCTAGTGAATTATAACAAAACATGGTTGGAAAATCAAAATTCTTATGTTCCTTAGGAGAAGAAGTCGTTTCAGTCAAATATTACACAAATGGTAGTTTCCATGCGTTTTGAAATCTTTCGATCATTTCCAGGATATTCAAAATGTTATGGTTTCCAAGCAACCATGATGGCACAGAACAATGAAATTTGATTCTTGATTGCTGTTAACATTCATTCCTTTGGCCTAGTATGTAGTTTGATACACTTAGGTTTATTGAAGATTTAATGGAGAAATCAGTGGAGGAAAATCTTTCAGTAATTGATGTTGTTTCATATTATTGAAGATTTGGTGTTACTAGAGGAATCAGTGGAGAAAAATCCTCATTGTTTTCTATTTTCTAATTCTTTCCATTCTCATAATTTCTTCTCCTATATAAAGGAGCCTCCATCATTGTATTGTATATGAGTTGAGAGAGTGTTATAAAAGTGATGTAGGCCTTTGGGCTCTTTGGGCCGTAATATCTGTGTGTTCTACTTGTTTTATTTATCTCTCCGCTTCCGTTTTATGCTTTACAACATGGTATCAGAGCCTAATTTCTCTTCCTAGGTTCAGACCCCTGTTTTGGGGTATTCCCTTAGCATCTGATGTAGCTAAGGGTTTTTTGGTGCTATTTACGACTTGTTTGGGCTGCCGGTTTGTTCGGCAGTAATGTTCTTCTCCCTTGCCGTGTCTCCGACAGTTTTTATTGACTTGTTTGGGCTGCCGGTGTGTTTGGTAACATTGTCTTCGTCTTTACCGTGTCTCCGGCAGTTTTTATCTACTTGTTTGGGCTGCCGGTGTGTTCGGTAGCATTGTCCTCGCCTTTGCCGTGTCTCCGGCAGTATTTTGTTGACTTGTTTGGGCTGTCGGTGTGTTCGGTAGCATTGTTATTTTGTCTCCTCTCTTCTCTCTTCATCATTCACACTTGTTGTTGTTACTCGTCATCTCAATGGCAAGTTGGGCATTAATGCTCCAACTTAAGGGGGAGTATTGAAGATTTAATGGAGAAATCATTGGAGGAAAATCTTTCAGTAGTTGATGTTGTTTCCTATTATTGAAGATTTGGTGTTGCTAGAGGAATCAGTGGAGAAAAATTCTCCTTGTTTCCTATTTTCTAATTCTTTCCATTCTCATAATATTTTCTAATGGCTGATGTAGCCCTTTGGGCTCTTTGTGCTATGGATGTAGGTCCTAGTGGCTGAACCACGTAATATCAGTGTGTTCTACTTGTTTTATTTATCTCTCCGCTTCAGTTTTATGCTTTACAATAAGGTTGAATGCTCAATATAACTATCAACTGCGTGGTTGAATGCTCACTTGTGGTAGAGTAAACAACTGCGCAGAAAGCATTTACATTAAACTATAGCTAGTTGACAATTTTCATTGCTATTTTTAGTATCCAAGAGGAGAACCCTCCAGAAAGAATCATTTGAAGGATTTACTCGCTTGGATGCTCAAAGGATCCTTTTGGGAGGGTGAAGGCTCTAAATATTATATTTACCTAAAATGAGATCCGAAACCGCCCCGATTACATATGGAATTAGTGCTATTAGTTTTATAGTTTACCCCTGCCTTGTTATTGTATTTATCAAATTAACATTCATTATATATATTATATTATATATAAACTTATAAGGAAACCCTACTGGCATTCCTATACCTCCTTCACCATCTTCAGATCTTCATCTTCTCTCTCTTGTTCTCCGGCCTTAGATCTCCACAGTCTCAGTTGAGCGATGAAGTGAATCGACACCACTTCTCAGTCCCTCACCATCATGCGGCTTCCTTTAGTCCTTCACCAACTTCCCTCTCTTCTTCTCCAGCCATAAATCTCTGATCAATGCTATATATATATATATGTGTATATATATATATTTGATGTATCAAGTTATACCTTTTCACAATTTGATTCTCCTTTTGTTATTATGGGTTTTGTTTTCACAGTTAGATCATCCCTAGTTTTTATTTTGATTCTCTTTTCACAGTTTGATTCTGTAACAATAAGAATCTGAAAAAACCCTCAAATTTAATCGGGGACGGGGTTGTGGCGGGGCGAGGATGGGGCAAGCGGAGGCGGGGCGGGGGCGGTTATGGGGGCAGGGGTTAAGATTTTAATCGGTTATGGGACGGTTTCAGGGGTACCAAAATTAAACGGGGGCGGGGATGGGGATTGGGAAACCTGCCCCAAACCGCCCCATAGCCATCCTTAGGTGAGATAGTTTTGTGGATGTCATGAACCAAGGCATAAGGCGTGCATCCAAATAACTTGATATTTGAAAGCACGGTGTTTGAATATTTCTTGAAATTGAATGGCCGCATCAACATTTTACACTGCTATTCAATATAGAAATCTATCATCTAGTGTGGAGCCATTTTGGAAAATGGTCACATGACAAATGATATTAAAATACTTAGAATATTTTGATTTCATTGAAACCCTAAAAAAATTCACGAGCCATTAAATATAATGAAGTTCTTTATTGCATTCAGTGACTCTTCATTTCAAATGCAACAGAAAGTGCAATGAGGCCACTAAAATTTGAGTGGACATCTGAATACACCTATAGTTTATAGTTCCAAATGTGTTTGATATTTGTTGAAAGCTCTGACTTTGACCTTTTTTATTCCATTGACAATTGAGAAGGAGCTAAGCGAGGACTTCTTATCAGAGGAGGAGATGTATTGGAACGCTTGGCCAGCATAACTTATGTTGCTTTAGACAAGGTAATTTTTACAGTTTAATGATAAAGCTTTTTTAAGTTTTTTCATGTGTAATACTCTCTCCGTCCCACAAAAAGTGTCCCTTTTCGGGAACCTAACTTCTTAAGAGTGTAGTTTTTAATATTTTTTTGTTATAGTGGTAAGTAATGAATTTCCAAAAATACCCTTCTATGGTGGGTTCACATAACTTTAATTGCTTTTATAACTTCAAGGCAATGTGGGTAAATTAGGAATATTAAAAAAATAGAACTCGGACAATTATTTTGGGACAGCCAAAAATGGAAAGGTGGACACTTTTTGTCGGCCAGCATAACTTATGTTGCTTTAGACAAGGTAATTTTTACAGTTTAATGATAAAGCTTTTTTTTTAAAAAAAAACTTTTTTCATGTGTAATAAGGAGTAACCTTTTAAATTTGAGAGATATGTTACCAAAAAATATATTTTCAACAATATGTGGATAAGAATATTCAAACATTTAAGGATTAAATTTCTTACCTCTCCTATCTTTTCAACTTTCAGACAGGAACCCTCACAATAGGTAAACCTGCTGTTTCTTTTGTGGCATCTTTGGTTCACGAAGAATCAGAAATCCTTAAGATTGCTGCTGCAGTGGAGAAAACAGCCTCACATCCTATTGCAAAGGCTATTGTGACCAAAGCAGAATCATTAAATTTGAATATTCCAACGACGAAAGGACAATTAACAGAACCGGGGTTTGGATCCTTAGCAGAAGTAGATGGACATTTGGTTGCTGTTGGTACGTTGGAATGGGTGCATGAACGTTTTCAGCAAAGAACAAACATGTCAGATCTGATAAATCTGGATCAGGCTGTGATGCATCAATTATCAGAAGGTAGAACATCATCAAACCATTCAAAAACCATTGTTTATGTTGGACGTGAAGGAGAAGGTATCATTGGCGCCATTGCAATATCTGATACTTTACGTCATGATGCCAAATCTACCATAAATAGGTACTCCTCTCCCATAAAACAATGCACACATGCATAAAAACATCACTTTTATCTTATTCTGATAGCTGTTTAGATTATTTGAGTTTTTAAGTGAAGTGTTCATCTTGAGTTTTGACTTTTTATGTTAAGCATAACTGGGCACAATAACTGTTCATATTTTCAGGCATTATTTTTACCCTTGGTGGTGGTGGTGGTGTGTTCTAATTTGGTGCATGAAACTCTTTCTGCATCTTTGCATGAACTTTCCTTCAATCTATTCCCCCTCTCTTCTTCTTCCTTTGCGTAATAAATTTATGATTTTTTGACAACATATATTCACCCACTCGATTGAAAAGAAGTTTTACAGTATTCTCTGTCCTTGAACAGCAATCTGATTACATATACAAAATCTAGACTGCTTTTGAAGGTTTAACTTGGTTTTATGATGAATATGCTTTTAACAGATTTTTAGATGGCTGTTAGTGAGACGTATATGGATATAATTCCTAATATTTTGGCCAAATTAATATTAGTCCCATCATTATTTTATGAAGTTTATTTAGTTTGTTCCTGTAACTGTATTCATTGTAAAGAGGTTGCTAACTAGTTGCTACTCATGTCACATTATTTAACTGTCTCACTTTTTTTCTTTATTTTTTTTCTTCTTTTGAAGACTTCAGCAGAAGGGAATTAAAACAGTCCTCCTATCAGGGGACAGGGAAGAGGCAGTTGCAACTATAGCAAAGACAGTTGGAATAGGAAGTGAATTTGTCAATGCATCCTTAACTCCACAGCAGAAGTCCAGTGTTATATCAACCCTTCAAGCTTCGGGGCATCGTGTTGCAATGGTAGTTATTTTCGAATTGCTTATTCCTCTTGAATCATTTTGAACGTAGATAATCTGGTGTAGTGTATTAAATATTTTGTGCATGGGGATCTTACATCTTTAAATGAGCTTTGATTCTTTCTGATTATATCAATTAAGCCCCACCATTGACAGTGCAATTAGGTTGCTATGATGGTGTTTTGTCTGAAAATTTTAAAGTTGGAAAAGAGCTCTTCTATAATAAGTGCTTTTTGGACTGCTGTGCCCTCAATCCTGACTGAGTGAGATATTTGGATCATATTCAACTAGTATGCTCTTGAGAGCATCTGCAGACAATTAAAAGGACTCCAAAATATGACACCTGATTATAATTGCATATGTGCACACTACTAAAGCATAATTACAAAATTTGTCCAACTGACATGTCTGCAACTTTGGAGGTGGGAGATGGCATTAATGATGCACCCTCGTTGGCTCGTGCTGATGTTGGGATTGCTTTGCAAATTGAAGCTCAGGAAAATGCTGCATCCAATGCAGCATCCATTATACTTCTTGGAAACAGACTTTCGCAGGTATGTATCATTGTAATCTAGTTTATCATAAGCCATTCATCCATGGTAATCATTTGTTTTTTACCCATAGACCATCAGCCATCTATTGGTATCATTATTTATAGTAGAACAATTGCCGACTCTTTTAATAAGCAAAGAAATAAAATCAAAGAGAGATTGTAAGAAAAGGTGGATGAATAATATTCCATGTGAAATGAAATACAAAGACCAGTAAACAACAAAATTACAAGGGCTAAACTAAAGCAGATTGTGTCATTGAATTATTTGGGCTAGATAAGGTGAACAGGAATGGTGGGTTGATGCCTTCATCTGATCTGCTAGAAATTGGCCTCTAAAAAGTAAGAGAGGAAGTCTATTATACTATGAAGTGTTGTGGGATTGTCGGCAGCAATGCTTCTTTGGGGTTTACTGCAATGTAACCGATAACAGGGTTACATTACCATATACACACACACATACATACATATAGATAGAGTAATGATCTCTTGCTCACTTCATCCGCACCATACATGGTAGCCATCAGACGTTAAAAGGTAGTTACCAAAATAAGATAGCAATCATATCCAACGATCATCAAGCATGGTGCGGATGAATTTCTTACTCACCAGTGAGCAAGAGATCATTTCTGCATATATATATATATTAACAAAGCCTATGTTTTATTTCTCACCTGGTATATGTTCATGGCAGGTGGTAGACGCACTGGATCTTGCACAGGCAACAATGCTGAAAGTTCATCAAAATTTGTCATGGGCAGTAGTGTACAATGTTGTTGCCATCCCTATTGCTGCTGGTTTACTACTTCCCCAGTTTGATTTTGCCATGACACCTTCACTTTCAGGTTATTAAATTTATTTTTCCCCCTCATATTTGAGATCTTATTCTATTATTAGTACATGATGGATAAATAAAGTTTTTTAATTTGTATCTTATCCAAGTGGGAATAGTATGCTAGAGCATTTCGCCTTCTATTTCTTTAGTCATATCTTCTTGACTATTACCATCCAATGTTATTAAACACCAACAAATGTTTATGAAGATAGGATATCCAAGAAGACAAAAATCTTTACCACAATTGGAATATACTATTGGAAGATTCTGAGAATGTTAGGTCGCTTGCAACCTCTGCATTGGAATGATCATTAAAATGAAAAGGAAATTCACAGTCAAGATGTTTGTTTTGGCAGGAGGACTGATGGCTTTGAGCTCAATATTCGTTGTTACCAACTCGCTGCTTCTCCAGCTCCATGGGTCTCAGAGGAGCAAAAACAAGAGCTATCCTCACAAAGCTACCTCTGTCAAAACTAGTTAAATTCTGGCCCAGTTCCTCTCTCGTCCGCTCAAATATGAACGTGCAACAGAAATTTTGTGGTCACTATGAAATTAACCAATATTTGGCCTGTGTTCCTCAAGAAATCTCAAATGGGGAGTCGCAATGTGAAGTAATATTTATCCCATAGGGAACTAATACTGGTATTAGAGCGGAGATTTATGTTTCCGATCCAAAGTTGTTGGAAAAAGGCTTGATTATTGTTGTTTGTAGTAGGGTACTAGTATTGGTATTAGAATAAACCCGCAGTTGAGCCTGCTGGTCCAAATGAGAAAATTTTGAGGTCTGTATTGTTAGACATATATGCCCTCAAAAGCCAATGTTTATTTGTTTAATTGGTTTATTGAATTATTTATTTTATAATTACATTGTCCGCACACGTGTAAATTATATGAATGATGTGTTAATTATGCCAGGTTAAGTTTTAGGAAAAACTTAGTTATGATTGGAGAATCACAGAAATGATGTCATTTTGGATAAGTGTGAATGTAATATACTCTAAAATCAATTATATTTAAAAATGTATCTGTGCTTCTAAAATGAATTTACTGATATTAATGTTTCTCGAGTCAATATATTAACACTTATCAAACTAGTTTACATTAAACTTTTTACCTCATAGACTTGGTTTGTAACCATGGAAACAGTTTTCTGTTATAGAAAACTGAAAATAAAAAACTATAAATTTTTTTTTGCTTGGTTGAGTTTTTTTAAAACTCAGTTATAAAGTGGTAAAAAACATGTTTGGTTGGCACAAAGCCTTTGGCCCTGTTTGGTATGTGATTTGTTTTTGGTGTTTCTGTTCTAAGCCCGCTACAGTAGTCCAAAAGTGGCATAAAATATGTTTTGTTGGCTATGTTTTGTTTCGAACAGTGATAAAACAATACTTGAAATACCAATACGGTGTTTTAAGTTGTTTCAGAGAATAGCCATTCTTGAAAACTATTTTTTTAGAACTATTTTTAGGGTTATAAATGTTAAAAGTTCCACATCAAATTAAAATGTACTCACATGTCAATGCAAGCTTAACTTCCAAATATTAAATTAAAAAATCACCACCAATCATGTTGACAGTTACATATGATTTGAGTGTAAAAAGTTCATTACCAATTACCTTTCGAAAAAAACAAAGTTAATTACCAAAAAAGAAAAAAAAGGAAGAACATAACAATCAGAATATATTCTGAAAGCAAAAATTGACTTAATTGAATAAAATTATACAACTTGAATATTCAATGGAGTTGAAGATTTTAACCGTGCACCCAAGTCCAGTCAAACAAATTAAGTCGGCACAGTTTGATCTCAAGATTCTCAACTGTGATATTTTACTAAAGCACAAATTATTCTGTTCACTTGCAGGTAATAATACAATTAAACAGCAACAAAACAGAACAGAGAACAGGTGGCTCACAGCATCATCCCCGAGGCAATCTCTTTCTAGGGCCAAGCGCCATGCCGATTCATCTGTGGTCCTCCATTGGACCAAATTACCCTTCGGCGTATTCTTGCATCTTGGCAAATCACGTAAATATAGGAAATATCAAGGTTAGTTATATTTCACCTAGTCACGACGAGCTCGAAATCTACCTCTCGATGGAGGAAACTTCGCAAAGATTAGTAACGTGTAGTTGTGTTTGACGTACACACCCCTACTATCAGGTTATTTGACGTGTCGAGAACGATATATATATATATATACACACACACGCAGATATATATAATATATAAAATTACCGTACATTTTCTATAATTTTGACCATTTGGCATTCCATTAGTTAGGGCGGGAATCCGAAATAAACAAAGTTTGGTGTTGTAACTTGAAAGCCCTCTCTCCCTCTAGGGTTTTTTTTCAGTTTTCGAAATCCAGTTCAAACGTACCTTTCAATTTCTAGGGTTTTGAGTTGGTTTGGATGTTCAGGAACCAAAGATGAGTCTCCTCCGTAAGGGCTCGAAGGTGTGGGTCGAAGACACAAACTCCGCATGGGTCGCTGCCGAGGTCACAGATTTCGTCGAAAAACTAGTTCAAATACTCGTCACTGGCTCTGGGAAGAAGGTGAGTCATTCAATTCCATTGTAAACTGAAAATTAAGAGGACACAATATCTGAAATTTACTAAAAATTTCACTTTGGCATATATATATACACACACAAATATGACATATCTCGCTATTCAAATTTGTAGGTGTTAATTTCTCCTGAAAAGTTGTTCTCGAGAGATGCCGATGCGGACCATGGAGGGGTCGATGACATGACTAAATTGACCTACTTGAATGAACCTGGAGTTCTAGACAACCTTGAGAGGAGATATGCTCTTAATGAAATATATGTAAGTGAAAATCTCTCTCTCTATAATGCTTTTACCTTTTTTGTTTATTTATTTTTATTTGATTTCTTCGGTGTAATTATCATTGTATGCTGGCTGGCTGTTATTACTTGACCCGGAAATTTAATGATGCAAAAAATGGTAATTCTCAGAGGTAATGCAACTACTAGGAGTAACTCCCTCACACCCTTATCCTTTCATTCTTGATTCTACTGTCTGGTTGCAAAGGAAATTCAAGAAAAGAAAACAATTTTAATCTTTGAATATCAGTTATTTAATCAGCTGGGGACAATAAAATAGGCTACAACGTCTGCTGGGTGGACTTTGATTTAGTTAAGCTTTAGCTGTAAATATATATATTACGAGATGTTCTGATATTTGGGATTTAGAAAACTAAAAACTTTGCAATTGAACACTCAACAGTACTCTGTTCAATGCGTCTCAATCCAACCATAGTTGAAGAGAGTCTCTTTTTCTAAAATTTTATTGTTCCTTTGGAATAGCAACAATTCAACGGAATATGGATTCTAAACTATTAGCATCTCATTTATCCTTGTCTTTATAACCATGTGATGGTTTTCTAAAAAGCAAGTGCCAAATTCCGTATTTGGCATCTGGTTGCAATGCTTGCACTGGTTCTTTTCAATTGGCTATTGCACAATTTTAGACTCTCAAAACCTCATCCAGAGAAGCTCATGTTAAAAGATCTGTAAACTCCTCCCCTTGAATGCACATGCACAAGAACTTTTGGTTTTGAACAGTATACGTCATTGTCCTAATATTAGACAGCGATGAACTGTAGAAATTGATTTTTTCCAGAGGAAATGGTCCTTTATTTTGGAGGACAAGTTTAGAACTATAGTTGTTTTGAGTCAATCATATAAGCTGTTTCTCCTTGGGCTCAGTTGCTATTAGGACTCAACATGTAATGATCCTTCTATCCTTTCGCTGTCAACTATCTAATGTGTACGAACTTGTTTTATTATGGATCATTTTGGTTTTTTCATATCACGTGGTAGTACCAAACTAGCAGTGGTTTATGAAATCACAAAATCTGATTGGAAGATAAGTTCAATTTTTTGATGAATTTGGTTATAATTTGGGTTGAATGATGCAAAAATTAGTTGATGGATCTTTTGGATGGCCAAACAGAGATAGAACAGAAATCTCACAGATCTAAGATATACTAGAAATACTCCAATCACCGTTGGAGCCTAGATTTTTAAAGGCAAATCTTGGGAAGCCTTGAGAGAAGTATTAATTTTTTTTTATTTTATTTTTTTCTGATAAGTAAAATGGGTCTTAAGAGAAGTATTTAATGAAAAAAAAATCTCAAAATTATATTGATGAAGACTTGTTATAGCGGAAAGAGGTTGTCCTTTTGATGGAGATCAATGGCAGCAATCTTTAAAGGTGTATAAAAGGCGCAAAAAGGAAGGTTCTAAGGCTCAAGCCTCAATTTGGCACGTTCTAGATGAAATGGGGTCCACTTGGAGTATTGCATAATTGGGGGGTTTGGTCAAATTGCATAGTTATGGTACATTGCATTAATTATGGTGAAATTTCATAGTTATGGTAAATTGCATAAATTATGGTAAATTTGTATAATTATGGTAGTAAAGTATTTGTTATTATGCTATAGAGTCAACATCCAAGTGTAACAAGTTGCTATAAAAAGGATAGGATGCAAACTTGGTGACTTTAGTGAATGAATGAATAAAAATATCTTATGAAATTTCTTTGTGAGTGATTCACAAGATAAGAGGGGGTGAGTGTTGAAGGATATAAATATAAAAGTTGCACACTCTCTAACAGCTTAAGCTTTTAGAGTAGATGGGTAGTTAACATGGTATCAGAGCCAAAGGTCTCGTGTTCAAACTTCACTGTCACCCTAATTAAAAAAATTGAAAAAACACGTGTTGGACCAAAAAGAAGGCCACACGTGAGGGGGGTGTGTTGAAAGATATAAATATAAAAATTGCACCCTCTCTAACAGTTTAAGCTTTTAGAGTAGATGGGTAGTTAACAGTGAGGCTGTCTCTAGGTGTGATGCCTAGACTTGTTGGTGTGATTCCAATAGGTTTTTGTTATTTTCAAATCCTTTCTTTCTTCTAACGCCCCTAATCCCGTTCATTTGAATTTTCAGCCATAACTCTTATTTGTTTTCAACTATTTGAGGCTGTTCATGTCCAACATCACCTTTATATAATATCAATACCAATGGCTCGTTGATTTCTCCTAGAATGATTGTTAGAATCCCCACACAACATTAATAACATTTTTACCACTTTCCTAAGTAAACACTCATGCTACGTTTGGTGTGCAGGAATGGAATGGAATGCCCATTTTAACCATTCATTTGTTTGGTATGCAATTTAAAGTGGGAATGGTCATTCCCTTGGAATGAAAATCTATTCCTGAGAATGAAAAGCCATTCCACAACTAAACCTATGGAATGACCATTCCATTCCCAAGTAATTTTTTTTAAAAAAACCAACTTCCCAAAAATCCTTCATGTTCCAAGTCCAAAAACTACCACTACCTTCCACTACAACCACTTCTGCGTTTCACCACCATCAGCACCACCACCGACTTTCACCACCATCCACCACTTTCTACCACCACCACTACCTTCCACCATAGCCACCGCCGCCACATTCCACCACCACCACTGCCACCGCCTGACGCCTGTCACCACCGCTATCGCCTTCCACCACCACTACCACCACCACCGCTGCCTTTCACCGCTACCATTGCCACCTCCTCTCACCACCGCCACCGCCTTTCACCACCACCGCCGCCGCCTTCTACTATCGCTACCACAACCGCCACCGTCACCGCCTTCCACTACCACCGTCACCGCCTTCCGCCATTGCCAACTCCACTGCCTTCCACCACTACCACAACTAGTTTTTTTTGAAACCTCTGTTAATAATACATAATTTAGGTTATTAATTGTAATTATAGTAGGAAAATTAAAGCCCCACCCCCCCCACCCCCAAAAAAAAAAAAAAAAAAAAAAAATTGGTATTAATTGTGATTTTAGGTAGGAAAGTTAATGAAATAATTGTAATTCTTTTCATTTTTTCTTCTCATATTCTACATAAACATATATTTAAAAGTATACATTAAAAAGACGTTGGAAAATTTTTTTGGGCCCCCGGCTTTGCCCCTGACCACAATCACTTCCATTGGCTTCCAGCACCGTCACCTCCATTGGCTTCCAGCACCGTCACCTACACCACTATTTCCTTCCACCAACACCACCACCACCCTACTGCCACCGCCTTCTACCAACACCGCCGCCGCCACTTTCCACTATTGCCACCACCGCCGCCTTCCAACACTACCACCTACACCATTACCGCTTTCCACCTCCACTGCTAGCATTTATTTTAAAAAAATTATAAAAGAATGTCATTTGTTAATTTAATTTATTTGTTACTAAGAGTTAAAAAAAATGGCAAATATAGTCTTGTTCCCTCTTTGGGTTGCCGATGAATGGATTTTTGTTTTTAGTTTACCAACAAAATAAAAATACAATAATTCACTTGAGTTTATAATCAATGATGCAACCCTCTCACCATTGTTATGATGTAAAACTACTATAAACAAAAATGGAATGATTTGGGCATGAATTCTAACATCTTTTTCATAAATATTGCAATTTCATAATTCATTCACTTCATACTATTTCATTTCATCTTATTACCAATTTTTACCTACACAATATTATATTTATGCTTGATTTACCTCTCACCAGTGTAGACTTACATGAAAAGATTTTATATATAATAGCCGGACGAGAATGTGTTAAGTTTTGATCATCTCTTATACAAAAAAAAATGTGACAATATATCAATTATAGATTAAGTAGCTCGAATAAAATAGTTGAGTGAAAATTGAATTGATACTAGATTAAATCGTGGTAACATAATTATTTCATGAGTAAAATGATTTCCTAAGTACCATTTTTACACACGTTTTATGTTTTAATTTTTATTTTTTTATGATCTGACATTAATATCCGTTGGTCAATTGATATATTACTTTTTGGTGAAATTCGTAGTTTTATATATGTGTTTATATATATATATATGTATAATATTTTATAACAATATTATGTGTAGAAGATAATGCAGGACAAAAATGTAATATGTACAACATTCAGGATTTCAGTTCTTGCATTTAACAAACAATCTTAATGAATTTAACGCTTAAAAATAAGACAATATCAAACAGTTTTTGAAATTAATACATTCAGCACCTAAAATTTTAGTGCTTAAAATTCAATTCTTACACTTTTCAGTGCTTAATTTTCAGTTTTATCGAACAACATCTTAGTAATTCCAAAGTTTAACTTGGGAGAAATTTTAAATCCATGGGGGAGATAGTTGAATTTTTGGACTCTTTGAGAGTTTAGGGGCCTTATTTGGCCTTGTGTAGCTTTTGCGAGATGTGTTTTTACGCTTTCTAATACAATCTTACGTGTCCATGCGGGAAATTGTTTTTAATAACATTTTTACCACTTTCCTAAGTAAACGCATAGTAATTCCAAAGCTTAATTTGGGAGAAATTGTAAATCCATGGGGGAGATAGTTGATTTTTTTTTTTTGGGACTTTTTGAGAATCTAGGGGCCCTATTTGGCCTTGTCTAGCTTTTGCGGGATGTGTTCCCTGTTTGATCGCTTTCTAATACAATGTTGCCATGGTGTGTGGGAGGGGACTTCAATGTTATTCGTTCTCCTTTTGAGAGATCGACGGGGGGTAGATGGACTTTGGAGATGGAGCTTTTCTCGGGGTTCATTGATGACTTTTAGCTGCTTGATTTGCCTTTGGAGGGAGGACCTTTTACTTGGTCTAGTGGCCGTTATCCTCCCACTCTCTCTCGGTTGGACATATTCCTCGTTTTTGGAGATTGGGAGGAGAAGTTTCTAGATGTGATTCGAGCTACTTTGGCGTCTCCTATCTCTAACCATATTCCGTTGGTGTTGGATTGTGGTGGGTTGCGTTGTAGAAGATCCCCTTTCAGATTTGAGAATACGTGGCTTCGTGTATAGGGCTTTCTTGACAAGGTCCGGTCTTGGTGGGAGTGGTATGGGGTGGTTGGCACTCCAAGTCATGCCCTTGCAGGTAAGCTGTGTCTTTTGAAGGAAGACATAAAGATATGGAACAAAGAGGTTTTCAGGAATCTAGAATGGACAAAGAATCGTGCTTTTTCTGAGATTGCTGAGATTGATCGTTTGGAGGGACAGGACAACCTCACAGAGTCCTTGAGGAGCAGGAGGGTGGAGTGCTAGGCAGAGTTTTGCTGAGATTGCTATAATGGAGGTGATTTCGTGAAGGCAAAAGTCTAGAGCTTTGTGGCTTAAGGAGGGGGATAGAAATACGAAGTTCCTCCATAGACTTGCCAATGCTCACAGAAGGGGCAATCATATTGGGAGGATTCGGGTGGAATGGGAGCTGCTTTGTAAGGAGGGGGAGGTTTGCAAAGGAGTTGCTGATTTCTATTCGAATCACAGAAACCTTTGGGTGGAGACCTTTGCTTGGAGGGCTTCATTTTGATTCTATTTCTAGTGAGGAGTGCTCTGGTTTGGAAGAGCATTTTTCTGAAGAGGAAGTCTTGGTTGCTTGAAGAGTTGTAAAGGGGCAAAGCCCCTGATCCAGATGGTTTTTTCATGAGATTCCTTTTAGAGAGTTGGGAGGTGGTTAGAGGGGAGGTGATGGGTACCTTTCATGCTTTCCATGCTTAGGGTAGTTTTGAGAAGAGTCTTAATGCCACTTTTATTGTTCTTATTCCGAAGAAATGGGGGGTGGTAGATGTTTTGGACTTTCGTCCTATCAGTTTGGTGGGGAGCATTTACAAGTTAATTGCCAAGGTTCTTCATCCTTGCTTCTAGATTGAGGAGAGTTTTGGATGGGGTCATTTCCGATTCTCAGAATGCTTTTGTTGGAGGCCGTCGGATATTGGATTCAGCCCTTATTACTAGTGAATGTCTGGATTCCAGATCGTGTAGTGGGGTTCCTGGTGTTCTTTGTAAATTGGACATTGAGAAGGCTTACGACCATGTGAGTTGGAGCTTCCTTCTCTATCTGTTGGAGAGGATGGGGTTTGGTGTGAGATGGAGGAGATGGATTCAATTTTGTATTTTGAGTGCTCGCTTCTCAGTGCTTGTGAATGGAGCTCCGACGGGTTTCTTCCCTAGTTCGAGGGGTTTGATGCAGGGGGATTCGCTTTTGCCTTTTTTGTTCTTTATCATGATGGAGGCCTTTAGTAGATTATTGAGGAGGGCTGTTGACTTGGGTTTTCTGCGAGGCTTTAGGGTGGGCAGGGATACTGCTAATCAGTTGGAGATCTCCCATTTGATGTTTGCGGATGACACTTTAGTGTTTTGTGATGCGGATGTGTCCCAGATGAGATATCTGAGATGTGTTTTGATTTGGTTCCAAGTTGTCTCCGGGCTAAAGCTGAATGTTGGGAAGAGCGTTTTGGTGTCGGTTGGGGAGGTCCCTGAGATAGCATCATTAGTAGATATCCTTGGATGTTGTATTGGTTCCTTTCCCATCTCTTATTTGGGTTTACCCCTTGGATCATCCTCGAGGTGTGTGGGGAATTGGGATCCGGTTGTGGAAAGATTCGAGAGGAGACTGGCGGGATGGAAGAAGCAGTACCCCTCCAAGGGTGGAAGGGTCACTCTGATAAAGAGTACCCTTTCAAGCCTTCCCACTTATTTCCTCTCTTTGTTCTAGATTCCCTTTTCTGTGGCTGAGAGGATTGAGAGATTGCGACGGAATTTTCTGTGGGGGAAATGGGGGAGGCGTTCAAGGTTCATCTGGTACGTTGGGAGCAGGTGTGCAGGTCGATCCGGGTCAGAGGCTTGGGCTTTAGAAGATTGGGGCCTTTTAATAAGGCTCTCCTAGGGAAGTGGCTCTGGAGGCTTGGGGTGGAGAGGCATAGGTTTTGGAGAAGGGTGATAGCGAGTAGATTTGGGGAGAGGAGAGGAGGGTGGAGCTCTTTTGAGGTGCGTATTCCAGGGGGTATGGGGGTTTGGAAATTCATATGGAAGGGGTGGGATAGTTTTTCCAAACACTTTAGATTTCAGTTCAGGGATGGTAGGAGGATCAGTTTTTGGGAGGACGTTTGGTGTGGGGATCTACCTCTTGCTATTGCTTTCCCTCGGATAGGCAGGCCATGGTGGTCAACTGTTACCGGCTTGATAGCGGGAGATCGTCTTGGGATGTTCGTTTCAGGAGGCATTTTCAGGATTGGGAGACTGAGGATGCCATTGGTTTTTTGGAAATGCTGTATCACCAGGAGATCTTGGGCGGAGATTCTGATGGTTGGGTGTGGGCCCCTACTTCTCAGAGTCGTTTTGATGTTTGATCCTTCTATAGGTGTCTTACGGAGGTGCCAGGGGCTCTTTTCCCGTTGGCGCTCCAAGGCCCCCCTCAAGGTGGCCTTCTTTGCTTGGACGTCTATTGTAGGGAAGATTTTGACACAGGATAATTTGAGGAGGTGGAATCAGGTGGTGGTTAATTGTTGTTGCATGTGCCTTTGTGCGGAGGAGGCGATGGATCACCTCCTTTTGCAATGCACTATGGCTAGGGACTATTGGGATTTGATGCTTGGTTTGTTTGGGGTTCAGTGGGTCATGCCCAGATCCTCCAGAGGGTTAATTGAGGCTTGGAGAGGTTGTACAGTGGGGGTCCAAGTCCGGGATGCTTGTAGGGTTACGCCTTTGTGTATCTGGTGGTGTATTTGGCTCGAGAGGAACAGGAGATCTTTCGAAGGAAAGTAGAATCCTATTTCTATACTTAAGTTCTCTATTATCTCCACTCTTTTTTGTTGGGTGGTGGGGAGTAATTATACATCTTTGGAGGAGATTGTTGATTTTTTTGGACTCTTCGAAAGTTTAGAGGCCCTTTTTGGCTTGTGTAGTTCTTTTGGGCTTCGTTCCCCTTTTGAGCGCTCCTATACAATTGTCTTACTTATCAACCAAAAAAAAAAAAAAAAAAAAAAAATCAATCTTACTTATCCAAAAAAAAGGAAAAAAAAATTCCGAAGCTTAATTACTTAGTACCCAAACACAAGAATGCCTCTTTGACTTTTTCAAGACACTTTCAAAGTAACATGAATTATTTGCATCAATATGCATGTGCAATAACTAAATCAAATATCATAAAATTTTCAGAATAAGCATGAGATATAATTAACGTAAGTAGTCAACTATAAGCTCTTGTATTTAGTCAAATATAAGACAAAATTAAACAATATGATCCATTAAATATAACCATGACACGAAGTAGAGTATGTAAATTTATGGTCATTTAAAAAAAAAAAAAGAAAAATGAAAAAAGAAAGAAGATGATACAGATGAATGATTAAAAGTAGAGGCGCACTTTTTAGCATGAAGCACACTAAAAATCGCGAGACTAAGCCTTGACGAGCTTGATGCTTTTTTTGGAGCCGCATCTGTGTATTTAAAATTGGTTGTTGAATATTTCAACTTTGACAATAATTACTAATTATTATGAAGATGTTGTCCGGTGAAATTTTGTGAATTTTATAGAAGTTTATGGCCCAAAATTCAACTTGAGTAAATGAGACTGAAACAATGTAAACTTCAGTTATGTTGCTACTTTACCTACCACATCATGAGAGTAAGTAATTCTTTTTCCTTCTTCTGGATATTGTCGCCAGATATGTTGCTTCTAGGTGAATAGTCTAATTTTGGTTCATATTCACCATCAAGTTAGCTTTATAACTGCTGCAATTCTAATATATAGGATACATCTGTATTGAACTATGTGTTTTTAATTTTCCTGAATTGCTTAGATTGCACTTTGCTATGCATTTGAGCTAACATACAGTTGAATACAATTATGCTTTTTATGGCTTTGATAGACATACACAGGGAGCATCTTAATTGCTGTTAATCCGTTCACGAAGCTTCCCCATCTCTATAATGTGCACATGATGGAACAATATAAGGGAGCTCCATTTGGTGAACTGAGCCCCCATGTTTTTGCCGTTGCTGATGCTTCTTACAGGTTTGACGCTGTGTTTAAATTGAGTTTTATGTTCATTGGCTTATGTGTTTTAGTCAGCAAGTGTCTTTTTTCATGATCCAGAGCAATGAAGAATGAGGGACAAAGTCAGTCTATATTGGTCAGTGGGGAAAGTGGGGCTGGGAAAACAGAGACAACAAAATTGATTATGCAATATCTTACTTACATTGGCGGTCGTGCTGCTAGTGATGATAGATCAGTTGAACAGCAAGTCCTTGAGGTAAGATTATTTTTGAGTTGATCAAATTGTTATGCGCAGCCATTGTACTTGTATTTGAATGGAATGCGTTTTTTTTTTTTTTTTCTTTTGGGTTCATGTAAGCAAGAAAAGGTAGAAGTAAAACATGTGTCCTTCAAATTTTTTATTTTTTTTTATTTTACTTGATTTCAAGTCTTAACACATCCTAATAGATTTAGTCATCCCTGTTTTTGATGTGGAAATAGCCAAATTTAAATGTTGGACCTTTACTTCTATTTTGTTATGGCTGTTGTCCCTGCTATCCTTGTTCTCTTGCTTACATCTTATTGTGACTAATTGCACTGCTAATTTCATCTTCCTTTATGATTCAGTCCAATCCGCTTTTGGAAGCATTTGGTAATGCAAGGACAGTGAGAAATGACAATTCAAGGTGGGCTTGACGTCTAATGCTGTTCAGAAATTTTTTCGGTCACTGCTCTAAATATATATTTTTTTGATAAGTAAAAAAAAGAATAGAAAAAAGAAAGGTCATTATGCACTGCTACTTTTCTTTTCCTCTCGTAATAGTGGTATTTAGCTTCATCCTTGGTAATCTGACCTCTTCTTTTTTCGTTTGTAATTTGATCTGAGAGTATTTTATCATTTCCAATCACGCTTAGTTCTTCCCCCTTTGCCTCTCAATTCTTGACATCCTGCATCCCATTTGGATGCTTAGTTCATTCAACATCTTTCTCTCTCTCTCTCTCTCTGTTTCATTTTTTTTTTTTACTTTACTGAGTGGTATATTATTAGAGCGCGAACACAACAGTAATTTAAAAAAGATAGTATGTATACAAAGAACTTATTTCTGTTAATTTTATCCACAATATCATAGATGTCACCAGTACATTGGAGCTTAGATTTGGATGATTGTTTTTGCTTTTTAAAATTTTATATTATTTTTCTAATTAATCCATAATATGTTTTAAACTTGCTTTAGATACCTGTTTAAAAAAAAAAAAAAAAAAAAAAAAGTGATTGCAAAACTCTCTCCATGTCCTGAAAGTGTCTCAAACGCGCGCCGCCTTGTCCATGCGGAGTGCTAGTGCTTTCTAGCCTAACATTTATATAAATGTGGACTACATTTCTCTTCCTTACCGGGACAATTATTTTACACATGGATTAGCTATTTTAGTTGATTTTTTCTCATTTTATCTCTAATTGGTGTTACCTCATCATTCTCATTGATATATTAATTTATAATTTTATCATTTCATACCTTTCGACATAATTTTCTCAACATTTTGAAGTTATCCAGTAGGCCTATTTAGTATTTTATAATTTACATGGTGCAGTAAGTAATCAATAGTTTTCTGTTTTAAGGGAACCATGTAATTCTTATGTTTTGTTCTCTGCAGTCGTTTTGGCAAGTTTGTCGAGATCCAGTTTGATGCCAATGGTAGAATATCCGGTGCAGCAATTAGAACTTACCTTCTTGAACGATCCCGTGTAGTACAAATAACTGATCCTGAAAGAAATTATCACTGCTTTTATCAGTTGTGTGCATCTGGACTGGTAGTCTCTCTCTCACATACACAATTTTATATTTTCTTTTACATTGAGCACTACTATTCACTATGATTTTCCAATTGATTATATGTTTCTTGATTCTTCCTTTTTTTGTGTGTAAGACTTCCGTTTTACTTTGGATTAGGTAAATTTCTATGAATGTTAATATGATAATCTTGTACAGTGATGTTTAAGATTCTCTTGTATTTTCCTTTGTTCTCTAATAAAATTTCACTTACAAAATAGAAAAAGGTTGGTTGTCAATTATTTTTGTTTTTAGGCTCCATTTATTTCGACATAAAACATTTTGGTGTTAAACATTTTTCATGTAAAACCACTTACATGAAATAGCTTTTTTACATCTGTTTGGCAGATTCTGAGATCATTTTCAGAGAGAGCAAGAATATCGCGAGTTTACACATTAGTCATCACGTTTTGAATTCACAATGCAACATGCAAAGACCCAAATACAAAGTTCTGCAAATTTCTGAATTTCCAGCCAACTAAATTGATTAGTTTTGAATTTTTATATGCTCTTTCATTCAAATTTCTTGAATTACGTCACTTCATAACTCGTTCATGCACTTAAATATATGAATGCATTCCAAAATCTCAGAACTTGGCTTCAAACAGAGGAATTATGTCAAATCTGTAAGCATGCAATCATAATAAACTTAGAAGATAGAAAATTGAAGATTGCAAACCCTAATTCAAAATTATTGATTCAACAGTGAAACCAGTCATGAAACTCATAATTGGACCTAATTGCATAAATAAAGGAATCCAGATAGGCCAAATCAAATCTAATTCAACTGGAGGTTCCCTAGTGCTATAAACTTATATCTTTAGATGAATCTTGGCAGGTTCCATAGGATAATGTGGGGCATTAGGCAAACGTGATCCCAGGACTAGGTCATTGGTATGTTGAACATTATTTATGGGTATTCAACTGGAATGCACGTTACATCATTGTTGCACATCTCATATATCCTTTGGCCTTTTCATATGATCATGGAATGGTCCAACCACATCTAGGTCATCTAAATACTCAGGTATATACCTACTTTCTAAGATGACGCGGTACGGAAAACTGGAGGTCTCCTTGTAGTATTAAGATCTCGGCGTTCCAGTCTTTCCCTAAAGTTGGTTTCTCCCATTTGAGAGCCATGGTCTTGGAAAAGAGACACCATCACCGTCACGATGGACAATGGTAGTTGTGGACTTGACATGATGATGGTTGCCTCTAAGGTTGTGTCTAAAATAGGGAAAACAGAGTTCTCATCCCTGTTGTACTTAATGGGACATTTTCTCCAACTATAGTCAAATTACTTTTTGTAGTCAAAACCTTTTGTTTCAATGCAGATTTGGCATAAGACAAATCTTGAATAGTCATGGTGGTCTCAAGGGAATGTTATAGGCATGAGAATGGTTAGGGACAAAATGCTGATATAGTCTCAGTTGAACCCCTAACCTGGGTGAAAAGATAACTAAACACGACCTATGCTATTAGGTCCATGCATTGATGTATAGTTATATATATTTTATATTAATAAATAGTTAATTAGCTATAAAAAGTAATGTTGGAGGGTGGAACAAACTTGCTTGATACCTTTGAATTTTCTTTAAAGACTTGGGTTAGGTTTGTTTTAGGCCTGAGGTCAGATTAGATGGTTTGGACCAACACAGTTTACATTATTCTATTGCACCGGCCCGCACAAACATAGACCTGCCCCATTCATGGCCTATCCTAGTTTTATAATTGCTCTATTGTCCTATACTGTTATTTGTTTTGTCAAGGTTTACTGCAACTTGAAAGTAGGAACATAAATGCTCTAAATGGTTAAAATAGTTTCTTATCGTTGTGATTTTGGTGAAATATTGATATTTAATGAAAACTAGTCATCATTTGAGACTTGGGTGCTGTTGATAAATTAATTTAGTAAGTAATTTTTAATAAATTTAGTAATTCGATTGTTCACACAATACAAAATGTCACTTAAAAGAATAAGTTCCACTAAAATGGGATAGCGTTTTAAGTGATGGAGATTTCACTTATTAGTTATCGCAGAACACTAGACACATAAGTTCAAATAAGTATTAAATAAGTTATTAATTTCTAATGAGCACTAAAATTTAAGTTAAAATAAGTATTAAATAAGTTAGGCCCAAAATTCTTAAGACTTCCTTTCCTTCTCGGTCTTCTCTTGCCAAGCCCATTCACTCCAAAACTAGAGAGGTTTTTTGGGGCCCAAATAGAAGCCTGTCTATTTCTATCAAAGGGATGCAGCCCAGCCCACGTTCAGGATCGGCTTCTAGATGTGATCCTCACAAGCTCATTGATTCGGCACAACCGATGGAAGGTGCGAGACACTGGTCACAGGCGGAAAAGGATAGGGCAAACGTGAGTTCGAACTTGATGATGGGTTCTGGACTGAGATCGAAGACGTTTAGACACGGCGAGTGTTGTCAGAATCTGCTCTCTGGTAACTGACTTGGGTTGCTTCAGTTGGGCTCTTTTTGTGAGGATGAGACTCGCAGCTGTGACTTCATCAAGGATGGTGGCTATTCTTCGGGTATGTTGCATCAGTCCGGCAAAAGATGGACAAGGAAAGACAAACAAAAATGGGTCGCCTGAAAGGCAGCCCCACAACCAGGTACGTTTCACTCATCTCATTCTCTCTCTGTTCCCTCTTCCATCGTTACTCCTCCTCGTGCAGTGATGACGAGCGAGGTGGCAGAGGCTTGTGATGGGAAGCTTCGGTTGTTGTCGTTAGTGATGGAGGTGGACTCCACTGTTGAATTGTTGGGCACGGAATTTTCTGGGTGTGGGGATTTTGGACTGTCAGAAAGGGATGGGACGGTCAATTTGTTTGTGGATGACGGTTTTGATTGTTGCGATGGGCTTGATTCCTCCTGTCCTTGCTCTGAATTTCCTTCCTCTCAGTTGGGCTCTTCTGGGGATGATTTATGTGGTCAGTTTGAGCCTCAACTGGGGCTGAGTCTTCAATGGGTAATGCACTGGTGTCATCCGAGACTGTTGTGACAGATTTGTTGACAGTTTGTGTGGGCAAAGACTTTCGCATAACCCTCAGTGACGATACAACTTCTTTGTTATTTGAGGAATTGCAGAAACACAGGCACCAGAACGATTTGCCTACAGTTGATCCAGAACCTTTTACTGTTGTTCATGAAGGTGGGGTGGGCAGTTCTAAGGACTGGAAGTCTTGTTTTGACGAGGCTGAGGGAGGTGATGAGGGAGGGAGTGGGGAAGACCAAGGTCGGTCTCATGACATGATTTTGTGGGAGGAGTGTCATTCTAATTTGGGGATTGTGGACCCCTTGGCGGTTGTGCGTCCGGAGGGTTTGGATTGCGATGTTGATAGGCATGAGTGCGGTGACTTGGGCAAGGAGTGGTTTTGGCAAATATCGGGGTCACCAGTGATTTGCTGGGGGTCTCTTGTAATGATAATCGGGATCAGGCCTTAGCAATCCTTCAGGCTACGGTGGAGGGGAAGGAAGGGGAGATGATCCAGTTTTCTAGGAGGAATAGAAAAAAGAAGATTCATTCTCCTTGGAGAGGGGAAAGGGAGCTGAGAAATCTTTGTTTTGATGTGAAGTACGATAGGAAGCTTGTGGGGAGGTGGAAAGAGGGTGTGATAAGGAGGGAGGGAGGCGTTTGGGGGAGGTGGGTGATCTTGTTTTTCCATGAAGCTACAAATCTTATCTTGGAATGTTCGTGGTCTCAATGACTCGGGCAAGAGGAAGGTGGTGAAGATGGCAGTGAGAGAATGGGGGGTCCATTTAGTGTGTCTCCAGGAATCAAAGATTGAATCTATGACTGATCGTGTGGTTAAGAGTCTTTTGGGGAAATACGTTTGTGGAGTGGGAGACCCTGAGTTCAGTAGGGACTTCTGGTGGCATTCTTCTCATGTGGGATAGGAGATGGATGGCAAAGGTGGATGTTTGTAAGGGGCGCTTTTCTCTGTCCTGTGTCTTCAAGATGGAGGAGGACGGTTTCTCTTAGGTCTTCTCTGGTGTGTATGGCCGGTGGATGACTACGATAGGCCAGTTTTGTGGGAGAAGCTTACTGGGGTGAAGGGGAGGTGGCCTTTTCCTTGGTGCGTGGCAGGAGATTTTAATGTGGTGAGATCCCCATCGGAGAGATCTATTGGGTCCATGGACCCTGGCTATGATTCTTTTTTCGGAGTTTATCGATGGTCATCAGTTTATTGATCTTCCACTGGAGGGTGCTTCTTTTACTTGGTCCAATGGGATGGAGACGCCTACTTTTTCCCGCTTGGATAGATTTTCGATCTCTGGAGAGTGGGAGGAGAAGTTTCTGGATGTTGTTCAGGCCGCTCTGGTTAGAGTTACGTCGAATCACATTCCTTTGGTTTTGGACTGTGGAGGGTTGAGTCCTCGTCGTACCCCCTTCATATTTGAGCATATGTGGCTTAAAGCGGTGGATTTTCAAGGGTTGGTGCGATCTTGGTGGGAGGAGGATTTGGTTGTGGGAACTTCGAGCTTCATTTTAGCAGGGAAGCTTTGCCTTCTAAAAGATAAGCTTAAAAAATGGAATAAGGAGGTTTTTGGTAATCTGGAATGAAGGAAGAATAGAGCCCTCGCTGACATCGCAGAGTTAGATTGGAAGCAGTGAGTGGTCTTGTTGAGTCTCAACGTAACAGTAGAGCAACTTGTTAGGCTGAATGTGGTGAAATTGCAGTTTTGGAGGAAATCTTGTGGCGGCAAAAATCTCTAGCGTTGTGGCTCAAAGAGGGTGACCGTAATACTAAGTTCTTTCATCGTACCGCTAATGCCCATAAGAAGGGCAACCACATTGGGCGGATGTGTGTGGACGGAACAATGTTGAGTTCTGAGGAGAAAGTACGTACTGGGATTGTTTCTTTCTATCAGAGGTTGTACACTGAGCCTCTTTGTTGGATGCGTGTGGGCGGATGTCTTCATTTTAATTTTATTTCAATAGAGGATAAGGAAGGGCTTGAAAGACCCTTTACAGAGGAGGAAGTTCTTTTGGCATTGAGGAGTTGTAATGGTGACAAGGCTCCAGGTCCGGATGGTTTCACTATGAGGTTCCTTCTGGAGAGCTGGGAGGTTGTTCGTCAGGAGGTTATGGGCACTTTTCATAAGTTCCACTCTAATGGGAGGTTTGAAAAGTCATTGAATACTTCTTTTATTGCCCTTATCCCCAAGAAGGGAGGGGCAACTGACGTTAAGGACTTCAGACCCATTGGTCTCATTGGGTGTATGTATAAGCTGATTGCTAAAGTCCTTGCGCTACGATTGAGGGAGGTTTTGGATAGTGTTAATCGGGGGTAGACAAATCCTGGATTCCACCCTTATTGCTAGTAAATGTGTGGATTTCAGGCTCAGTAACGGGATTCCTGGAGTTTTGTGCAAGCTGGACATCGAGAAAGCCTATGATCATGTTTGCTGGAACTTTCTGTTTTATCTGTTAGAGAGGATGGGTTTCGGAGAGAAATGGAGGCGATGGATCGTTACTTGTGTCTTGTCTGTCAGATTCTTGGTGTTGGTTAATGGGTCCCCATCGGGGGATTTTTGGCAGCTCTCGTGGTTTGAGGCAAGGGGATCCTCTCTCCTGTTTCATTATTGTCATGGAGGCTCTTAGTAGGTTGATGAGGAGGGCTGTGGACTTGGGGTTCATTCGGGGCTTCAAGATTGGTTCAGATGCAGCTCATCAGTTGGAAATCTCTCATCTGCTTTTCGCGGACGACACCCTGGTTTTTTGTGAGGCTGAGGTGTCCCAGTTGAGATATTTGCGATGTGTTCTTGTTTGCTTTCAGGCAGTCTCTGGGCTGAAAGTCAACGTGGGAAAGAGTGTGATTGTCCCTGTGGGGGATATTCAGGATGTGGAGTCTCTTGCAGTTGTCTTTGGGTATAGGACGAGCTCCTTCCCTATTTCTTATTTAAGCTTGCCTTTGGGTGTCTCGACTAGAAGGGTGGGAAGCTAGGACCCAGTGATTGAGCGTTTCGAGAGAAGGCTGGCGGGGTGGAAGAAGCAATACCTTTCGAAGGGGGGAAAAGTTACCCTGGTGAAGAGCACTTTATCTAGTCTACCATTTTATTTCCTTTCGCTCTTCTAGATCCCCTTTGCTGTTGTTGGAAGACTTGAGATGCTTCAACGTAACTTTTTGTGGGGTGGTAGAAGAGAGGAGTTTAAGTATATCTTTTTCGATGGGAGCAAGTTTGCAGGCCCCTCAGGTTGGGAGGCCTAGGGATTAGGAGATTGGCCCTTTCAATAAGGCCCTCTTAGGCAAGTGGCTTTGGAGATTCAGCAGTGAACGACATAGGTTATGGAGGAAGGTTGTTTCTTGTTGGTTTGGGGAGGAGAGGGGGGGATGGTCAGCTAGATCGGTCAGGTCTGCTGTCGGTGTGAGGGTTTGGAAATCCATTGGGAGAGGTTGGGATGAGTTCTCAAAGCACATTAGATTCAGAGTCCGGGTAGGAAGGGAAATCTGGTTTTGGGAGGATGCTTGGTGCGAGGACCGTCCTTTGTCTTGTCTGTACCCGAGGTTGTTCAGGATTGTTGCTGATAGATATGCTATGGTTGTTGACTGCTATCGCCTTGATAGTGGTAGGTTGTCTTGGGATGTTTAGTTCCGGCAATCCTTTCAGGATTGGGAGTTGGATGAGGTCATTGGTTTGTTGGATCTTCTGTATTGACAAGAGGTGGATGGCATCGGGTCGGATTCTTTGACTTGGGTGCTTTCTCCTCAGGAGACGTTCAAAGTCCGGTCCTTTTTTCACCAGCTCTCAGGGTTTCGTGGATCCACCTTCCCGTGGAAAACGGTTTGGCGCTTGAAGGCTCCTCTTTGGGTGGCTTTCTTTGTGTGGACTGCTGTTTGGGGCAAGATCTTGACTCTGGACAACTTGAAGAAGAGACAACATGTTATCGTTAACCGGTGTTGCTTGTGCATGTATGATGGAGAGTCCGTGGATCATCTTCTCTTGCACTGTCCCGCGGCTCACGACTGCTAGAGCCTTTTGTTGTGTCTCTTTGGTGTTCAGTGGGTTATGCCCCGGACTTCAAGAGATTTGATTGATTGTTGGAGGGGCCAAAGGGTGGGGGCGTGCGCCCGTAATTTCTAGAAGGTGATTCCCCTTTGTATTTGGTGGAGTCTTTGGAAAGAACGCAATCGAAGATCTTTTGATGGGGAGGGGACCTCCATTGGGGCTTTGAAGTTAACTATTCTTTGCTCTCTTTTTAGTTGGGGTATGGGGAGAGACTGTGTTTCTGTGGATGAGATTATGGACTTTTTGGGGTCGTTGGGTCCTTAGATCTCATTTTTCTTCTTTATCTTTTTTCGTTTCTGTACAGCTCTTGGGACGCGTTTCCCATTTGAACGCTTTCTAATACAATTTTACTTATAAAAAAAAAAATAAAAAATTTTCAATTTTATGAAACAGCACCTTAGTGTTTTTGTTTCTGTTTATTTTTTAAAAAGAAAATTATTGAGAGATGTCTAAACTTTATTTTTGAACCATGTCATACTTTTTTTTTGGATCAATGAACTATGTTATGCTTTAGTTTATTAAAAGTTATATCTTACTAAGCTGCACCAAAGTATTTTGTTTAAAATGTTCTTTTACTTATAGATAATTTTCTTAAATGTTTGATATCATCTGAAGATGTAATTGTGCCTTTAAAACTGAAGCCTCTCATAGGACGAATTAATTCATATGTTGGTCATATTCTACTTGATATAGAAATTTTTATGGTTTATGATATTGGTTGTTTTTTTATGTTAAATCATTGTATATGGCAGGTACTGTGTGACATTTATTAGAATTCTTGATATTTTCTGGTGTCATCCTTATATCATGTCCGCCGTTTTCTTCAAGCTTACGTACTATATATTAGGGGTTTTCTTTCATTTGTTCAGGATGCAGAGAAGTATAAGCTAGGAGATCCAAGTCACTTCCACTACTTGAATCAAAGTAAAATTTATGAGTTAGATGGAGTGAGCAGTGCTGAGGAATATATGAAGACAAGAAGGGCAATGGATATCGTTGGCATTAGTCTTGAGGAACAGGTTTTAAATTTTTTTATGAGTGTTTGTTTATTATGCAGCTTGATTTTTTCCACTTTGATCAAAGTTTTGTAGAATATTTTTTTTTGTTGTCTTCACATCTTTCCATTTGAATAGGAAGCCATATTTCGGACGTTGGCTGCCATTCTGCACCTGGGAAACATCGAATTTTCGCCAGGCAAAGAGCATGACTCTTCAGTTATAAGGGACCAAAAGTCAAGCTTTCATATGCAGATGGCTGCTAATCTTTTTATGTAGGTGACTTGTCGGATCTATTGGGAATCTCTCTTCTTTATCAATTCTGCCTATTTAAATTATAGAATATGGAATTGCCTTATTTTTCTTGTAGTTTTGAAAAGTTCAACTCCTATGCTCTTTGCGACATTAATGATTTTTTTTTGCTCAATTGGAAATTAGTGAACACATGCGCAATAATAACCTAATTAAACAAAATTTTGAAAATAAAACAAAAATTGCGGCTTGAGATTCTGTTGAAATTTGCCAACACTAAGTTCTAATAACCTCCTTCTAAGCCTTTCTTTTCTCACATATATTTATATATGTTTGATTCTCTCATGCAGCTCATAGTATATTTTGCTTGTAATAAAGTGAAGAAAATGAAACATTAATTTTTTTTTTTTTTTTTTTGATAAATAAAAATTTTATAAAAAACGCTCAGAAGGGGAGCAGAACCCAAAAAAACAAAAGACCACAAAGGCCTCAAGCCTTCAAAGAGGCTAAAAATCAACAACTTCCTCCAAAGAACTATGATCTCTTCCTGAAACCCAACAAAATAGAGTGGAAATAATCGAGAATTTAAGCACCGAAATCAAAGTTCTTTCAAGCCATAAACACCACCACACACAAAGTGGCGTAGCCCTCCACGCATCCTGACTGAGAGCCCCCACAGGGCAACCTCTCCACGCCTCAATCAACCCTCTAGCAGATCCTGGCATAACCCAAGAAACACCAAATAAGCCAAGCATCAAAACCCAACACTCTCTAGCCAAAGGGCAATGAATAAGAAGGTGATTCACAGATTCCTCATCACTAAGACACATAGAGCAACGATTGACCACCACCTGGCTTCTCCTTCTCAGATTATCCTGGGTTAAAATCCTACCCAGAACCGAAGTCCACACAAAGAAAGCCACCTTAAGAGGAGCCTTGGAACGCCAAACAGACTTCCAAGGGAAACGAACTCCAGGAACTAATGAGAGGCACTTGAAGAAAGACCTCACCTCAAAGCGTCCCTGAGAGTTTGCAATCCAAGACCAACAGCCCGAAACATTCAAATTTAATGATGAAGATATTATATTTTGAAGCACCCCCATATGTAAATGTAGTATTGACATAATATTTGGAGTTTTTTTTTTTTTTTTTAAAAGAAAGAATATATGGAGCTTTTTAGATGCTTGAGTAAAATATTTATCTATTAACTTGGACCGAGTGTTGAATAGATTGTTTTGCCTGTGGTAAAGATGAAAACTCATTGAGCCTGGGTTTGTTTGATGCTGAGCCTTTGTAGTTTTGTTCTCAATTAATGATGGAATCATTTATCATAGTTTACTATTGGTTATTTCCTTGTGATAAGCTGAATGACTGAGTTGTTTCTTTGCCCAGGTGTGATGCAAATCTTTTGCTAGCCACGTTGTGCACACGCTCAATTCAAACTCGTGAAGGGATCATCGTTAAAGCCCTAGATTGTGATGCTGCTGTCGCGGGTCGAGATACTTTGGCCAAGACAGTTTATGCTCGGCTGTTTGACTGGTGTGCTTGCTGTTTATTTGTTGTCAGGAACTTTTTCTTTTGCTGGATCCAAAGGTTTGCTTTGCTTTGACAAGAACGTTTGTGCTTCCTATGTTTGTTTCAGGCTTGTTGAAAAAATTAATAGGTCTGTTGGGCAGGATCAAGATTCCCGGATACAAATTGGAGTACTAGACATATATGGATTTGAATGCTTTAAACATAACAGGTAAATTTCCTTACCTAAATGGGTTTGGATTGTATTTACGGTGATTTTTCCTCTTTTTATGGGGTAAGTCAATTTATTTATTTTTTCCCCTTTTGAGAAGATAAATTACTTCCATTAGTGAGGGGGAAAGAGGGGAGGGAAAATAAAACAAAAATGTTTTTCTTCAGGGAATAAGAACAAGTGAGAAAAGAAAATAAAAAGCATCCAACCAAAGTAGTTTACCCTGTTGCTAAGATCTATTAGGATGAAGCGTTGAACTATGAACATGCTCTGCAAATGGCTGCAAGGAATTTCACTCATCTAGCTAAACCATCTGCCTCACATCTGCCCATCTCAGAATCCAATTTGGATCCTCCCAATCTCACACGGTAATCTCTGATCGCTTGCGCTCACCTGATGGCAAAGAACCCAATTTGGCTGATCTAGCCTAACTATTGACCAGTGAAGAAGACCCTTCAACCAGGATTGCAAACTTTAAGCTAGCTGTTTCCACAGCTATTTGAAGAACTAACTGCTGGCTTTGATGGCAATTAATTTATTTGAAAGTTTGTGTGATCTATTTTATTTCTCTAATCATGGTATTTCAAACATTGGTCTGCAAGTGGTTTAAGTTTCTTACCGCTATATTACAAATTAGGCAGATGTCTTTTCTTGAACATGTATACTTTACGTTTCTAATTGTGCATTTAGCTCGTGACACAGACTACCTTCATTGGCTGTTGCAATTTCTTGTATGTAGTGTTTGATTCGCTGGGTGTTTGGACTTTGGACTTGGTTTAGTTAATTGATTGGTTGACATTTCTATTCAACAGTTTTGAGCAATTTTGCATTAATTTTGCAAATGAAAAGCTTCAACAACATTTTAATGAGGTGCGCAATGATATTCAATAGGATGTTATCATATCATTATTAGGATTGTGACAAATTATCATATTGTGGCTTTATTTTGTTGTGCTATCTTATTTTATTGTATTTCTTTCAGCATGTTTTTAAGATGGAGCAGGAAGAGTATCGCAAGGAAGAAATCAATTGGAGCTATATTGAATTTATTGACAACCAAGATGTTTTGGATCTGATTGAGAAGGTTTTCTTTATTTTTCTCAAATACTTTGTTGTTCTTGGTTATTTTTGTTTGATGAAATTTTTGAGCATGGTACCGCGATGAAATATGGAAAAATACTACGGAAATGCGTAATCGATCAGCAATTTCTCTATATATTCTCTTTGATAGTGTGTTGTTGAGTTTGCTGAGATCGTCTATTGAACCCTATACTTTATTCCTTTTGTAAGGTGTGTTTGCTAGTACTTTTTTTTCCCCCTAAGAGTGTGAGAATGAAGTGATCTATGTGTCTGACAGATACGACATGGATTTGTGTTAGTGTGTCAGTGTGTCAGTGTCATATTTGTTAGCTGTCATCTACTCTAAAAGCTTATGTGTTGGAGAGAGTGTAACTTCAATATTTATATCCTCTAATATGTGCCCTTACTTGTGGTCTTTTTTGGTCCAACCCGTGTTTCAATTTTAGTTATCTGCGTACAACGAGGTTTCGTCTCATGCTATTCCACCCCTCAGTTCTACTAATTTTCTACTTCTTTCTAATTTAAGTTATTGTATTGTTTTCCGTTTACTATTTATTAGCACTGATTGTCAACAGATTTTTTAGATGAGATTGACGTAAATAGTTTACATTTTGAAGATGACTGATTTAGCTAGCTTGTAATTAACATCTAGTGATAGTCCAATGATTCTTTGATTGATATTTGTAAAGATTCAAGCATAGTTTTGATCTTGTATTGAAGACGAGAAGTTTGATGTGAAAATCTTCCAAAATCTGAAATGCTGTTTATGTTGCGGACCTGGTCTGCTAGATTTCGACATATATTAGAATCCTCCCGTATCAAAAGAAAAGTAGTAGTAACATACATCATTTAGTGTGTTTGTGTGCTTTTGTTGTTTTCCTGGACATCAGTTATGCTTTCATCTCATGCTATTGTACATGCTTCTGCAGAAGCCAACTGGAATAATTTCTCTTTTGGATGAAGCTTGGTACAGTATAAGTTCTCCACTGTGAATTGGTGCGTGTTGCTCTTTTAAATTGTTTAGTTGAGCTTACCCTTATCCTGATTTTTTGTTTTATGCAGCATGTTTCCCAAATCAACACATAAATCATTTTCAACCAAGCTGTTTCAGAACTACCGAGCCCACCCAAGGTTGGAGAAGGCAAAATTTTCTGAAACAGATTTTACCATTTCCCACTATGCTGGCAAGGCATGTTATATGTGACACAATTATTTGAAATCGAATATATTCTTTTGGTTCGCTGGGCATTTTCTCAATGATTTCTCTGTCAATAATTTTTATGCAGGTCATGTATCAGACGGACTCTTTCTTGGATAAAAATCGTGATTATGTTGTTGTGGAACACTGCAATCTACTCTCTTTTTCCAAATGCCCCTTTGTCGCTGGTCTTTTTCCTGCACTACCGGAGGAATCTTTAAGATCATCTTACAAGTTTTCTTCGGTGGCTTCTAGATTTAAGGTAATTTTTTATATCGTTCCTGGCAGTCTTTATGCTGGGTCCAGGACCAGGTTTCCTTTATAGGTTTTATAGAGCTGGGGTTTGTTGTTGGGTGATCCAAGTTGAGCTACAGGCAATTGTTGGGTGCTCACCTAAGCGCGGATCCTTGATTATGCTTGTAGCAGAGCTTTTCCAGATCACTTTAGCACCAGACACCCTTGTGATGGAGAACCGGGCCTGGCCCGAGAGCTTGAGGTCCATATGGCCGACACCCACTATTGGAGACATGGGAAAGAAAGATAGAATTTGGGCTTTTGCTTTTATAATTATTATTGAATTTTAGGGTTTTATTTTTGGTAATAGGAATTTTAGGGTTTTCTTCGATGCCTATTTATATGTTGGTTTAGACATTGTGAAAGACAGTTTTTGATATTGATTATTGGTTATTATTCAGAAATTATTGTGGTTTCTTCTCCCTGAATTCTGATTTCTCCCTCTATTATTCTTCTCTTCTCCCTCATTCTGATTTCTTCCCCTATTATTCTTCTTCTATTTCTCTTTCTTAATTACTTGAATTCTGTTCTCGAATCGCCCCTACCCGCTGCTGCATCAATTGGTATTAGAGCAAAAGATTCAAAGTTTAATTATTTCAGCAAAGTTAAACCCATACTACTGTTTATCAACAAGCATAAACCCTAGCACCAGCCCCATTCAACCCTAGCCGCCATCAATTTCATTTGCAACAAATCGCAGCATTCAAGTTAAACCCTAAGCCCACAGCCCCTCATCCGAAAAACCTTAGTTGAAACCCAAAACCCAATTGTTCACCCACAAACAACATACCCAAAACGCACTGTTATTACTGTTATTTTTATTACCACAGAAATAGCCATACACCATCTCCAGCAACCCAAACAAAACTCTAATCCATCCCTCAATAACCAAACCCTAGTCGCATGAACCAATCGCCATATCCATACCCGGTCACCGACCCGACCAAGCTATTAACCCAAACCCAGCGAATTTTCTGCAAATACTAACACTGAGAAAATCATCTTCGCTGGAAAACTCATTGTCGTCAATCATCCTCGCTGCTGCAAGTCCTTTTCGGAGTCTGTTGCTACCATCATCGCCGGAGTCGTGCTTCGCTGTTTCATCGCAACAACCACAGTCGGAAAGCAGTTGTGTCATGTGGTCGTCGCCAGAAGTTGAAACTTCCATAGCTCGTATCACCAATCAGTAAACTAAATAGCATCTCGCTGTAATCTCATCCACAGTCCTCGCCATCATCTCGTTCACCGGCGTTTGTTAGGTCGTCGCCGGCATCTTGACGTCGTCGCCGGTCAGCTTCTATTCTCTTCTTCATCGCGTCGCTGCTCTCGTTCCACCCCAAAAGCCTAAAACTTCTGTTACGCAATTTGGGAAGTAGCAGATTATTATATATTTTAGTGGCAAGATTGGACCAGTTTGATTACGAGCACAAAGTTATTCTAGTTCTGAAATAAACCAGTTCAAACAGTTCCGGAAGAGAACCAGTTCAGGAGTAAACCAGTTAAAAAAAAAAAATTTTTTTTCAATTCTCACAGCCACATTTGGGTAATATTCAGCACTTGGGAGCTACAGAGGACTAAGGAAAAGGTACACATACTTCAAATTAAAATTGTGATTAGTACTGTTAAGTTTTATCCAATTGATTAGTCTAGAAATTGCAGAAGGTCCATTAAACTTTATTTTTGCATCTAAATACTCGCACTAGTGCATGATTTCTAGCATAATCGATTTCATTGCATTATGATTTTCTTAGTTGTGCATTGTGTCAGTTTATAATTTGATTTGCTTAATTCAATTTGAATCCTATATTTGCATTATCTTCAACCATTCTTATGTCTGTTCCATTCCATTAATACGCAACGATGTCGGAGGAGAACATTGTTTTATGTTCCCAATGGCTTTGTTCTAAGCCAAGCAAGGTTAAGATTGTTGATTCCAAACCAAGCTTCCCATCTCACAGAAATAGAATTAACTGGTGTTGAAATGAAAGGGAAACAAAAACAACACTGAAAATAAATTTGGAACAACAACTTTTGAAAATTGGAAATAGGCTTTGTCAACCTCCATCCTCAATCAGTGAGCTCCTTTGGTTGCTTAACAAAACTGATCACTTGTTTTGCAAAGTACACCAGCACCCATGTGCTTCAATGCAAGCTGCAGTCTCTCCAATGATGAAGGCTTTAATTGCTAAAGAATTTTTAAAGCATTCAGATTGTGATGTTAGAGTTGCAGAAGCTTCATGCCTTGGTGAGTTAACAAGGATTACAGCACCAGATTTTCCCTATAATGATGATCAAATGGTAGAAGTATTTCAGGTGATTGTATTATCTTTTGGAAATCTATTTGATACATCTTGTCCATCTTATGGTAAAAGGGTCAAAATCCTCAACACATTTGCAAGTGTCAATTCATGTTTGATAATGTTAGATTTGGAATGTGAAGAATTGATTGTCCAGATGCTTTAGTACTTTTTAACCAAAATAAGAGATTATCTGCCGGACAATATCTTTAAACATATGGTGCAAATTATGACTCTTGTACTGACAGTACTGGAGGAATGCGACTATATCTCTGTAGAGCTACTTCGTCCTCTTCTAACTAGTGTTAGGAAAGGAAATCAGACTATTTCACCTCAATCTTATACGTTAGGAGAAAAAGTCTTGAAAAATTGCGCTAAAATTCTTGAGCCCCGTCTTCCAAAGGTTCTACACACTTTGGGCTTTTTGTCCCCTGATTTTATGGAAATAGTTGCTTCTGTTTGTCAAGATGTGTCTGAATTGCCACACATGACTGTTGTGCAAAACACAATTGCCTTAGCCCCAAGATCATATTCAGTCGTGACACATAATCTCACACATCCTTGGGGAACATGTTAAATTGAGTCAACCAAATGATGAATTTGCACAAAATGAGGTCACTCAAGATTGCCTTGAAGAGATGATTAAATTTCATGAGTCATCCACCTCCATTGTGTCAAACAAGGATGTCAAGTACAATAGTAATTTCTGGAAGACACTTTTTTTCTTTTTGATAAGTAAGAATTTATTAAAAACGCTCAAAAAGGGGAGCGGAACCCAAAGATACAAAACAAAAGGCTAAAGGGCGCCTTAGTCCTTCAGAGAGGTCAAAAAAACAATAATTTCCTCCGTAGATCTATAATCTCTCCCTGAAACCCAGCAAAAAAGAGTACAAATAATAGAGAATTTAAGCATAGAAACAGGCTTCTCTTTTCCATCAAAATATTTCCTATTTCTCTTGAGCCAAATACACCACCAAATACAAAGCGGCGTAGCCCTCCAAGCATCTTGAATGGAAGCCCCAACGGATACGGCTCTCCAAGCTTCAATCAACCCTCTAGAAGAACAAGGCATAACCCATTGAACTCCAAATAAACCAAGCATCAAATCCCAACAATCTCTGGCCATACTACAATGTAAAAGGAGGTGATCAACTGACTCCTCATTGCACAAGCACCTTTAACACCGATTGACCACCACCTGTTTCCTTTTGCATCTTGTCCTTTGAATGAAAGAAAATTTGAGGTTGTAAATCAAGGTCTATGAAAGATGGTTAGTTTTATTATTGGCATGCACCTAGACACTTGGAACTTGCTTTTACCTATCATGGATTATGTTTATACAAGTTTGACTAATCAAAGTACTGGTGGTTGTTCTTTGGAGATCATCTACAACTCTTTACCATGCCAGTCCATTGATTATTATCATCCACCTCCATGTATGTATTGACTTGAGTTTGTTGATTCCTTCGTTCGGCTTGTTCATGATTTTTATGTCGATATTCGACAAGAAATTGTCTTGAGTAAAAAGGATTATGAACTCATTGCATATGCTCATCATAGGAATCATGAATTAATTGAAGGAGATTATGCTATAATCTGTGCGCTACCTCAACCTTATCATAAAAACTCCTTCCAGATGAAACATGCCAAAATTGATAGACTTTTCCACATCATTCAAAAATCAGGACCGAATGCATATTTCTTTGACTGGTCTTTGGATATGAGTACTAGTTCAATTTTTGATGTGGAGTATCTGTTACCTAACCGAGGCACCTTTGAGCCTCCTATTTTGTTGGCATGTGTTCCCACAGGCAGCGTTCCATCTTTCTCAGCATCAGCACTGACACTTCCGTCTTCTCAGCTGCAGTATATGGATTGGATTGATCGTATTTGGGATGTCCACAATTACTTGCCAGCTTCGGATTTTACATGGATTGTAGTGAAACAACTTTATTATGTTGACTCTTACTTTTTGAAGATATACATTTGCATATACTCTCCGGAGGAGAGTTCTTCTCAACCGGGAGGGAATGATGGAGAACCGGGCCTGGCCCGAGAGCTTGAAGTCCATATGGCCCACACCTACTATTGGAGACGTGGGAAAGAAAGATAGAATTAGGGTGTTTGCTTTTATAATTATTATTGAACTTTAGGGTTTTATTTATGGTAATAGGAATTTTAGGGTTTTCTTCGATGCCTATTTATATGTTGGTTTAGACATTGTGAAAGAGAACTTTTGATATTGATTATTATTCAGAAATTATTGTGGTTTCTTCTCCCTCAATTCTGATTTCTCCCTCTATTATTCTTCTCTTCTCCCTCATTCTGATTTCTCTCTCAATCTCTATCTTAACCTCTTTCTTATTTACTTGAATTCTGTTCTCGAATCGCCCCTACCCACTGCTGCATCACCTTGATTATTGGCTGCTGCGCTATGTTTTTTGCCTCTTTACAATTCCTTTGGGGCCTTCCTGAGGGTTGCCAGCAAATTTCTATTTTTATTACTGTTTACATTTTGTCGGACTTTTAGTTAAGTTGCTTTCTAACATTGTTATGTTATCTGTTGTGCATTTATGTTCATTATTTTTAATTTTTTATTTTGCTCACTTGAAACCTTTTTTAAACTTGGAAATATGTCATGCTTTAGTAATGTCGTGCTTCTGCATTTATTTCTACATCTTGTTAACAGCAAGTTATGGTTGCAACTTTTTTTTTTCTTTCTTTTTCATAGCAACAACTTCAAGCTCTAATGGAAACCCTCAATTCTACGGAGCCTCATTACATTCGCTGTGTGAAGCCAAACTCTTTGAACCGGCCTCACAAGTTCGAGAACCAAAGTATCTTACATCAGCTACGCTGTGGGGTCAGTAACATAAGAAATTCTTCATTTATGATTTTTTTTATGTTTCAGGAATTCCATGTCTGTACATGTTGTCAAAAGATTACTTGGTATTATACCCTTCCGTTTCATGGTTTGGTTTAATGTTTCTTATCTTTATTCTTATTGTTTCATCATTTGGCACCTTTTAACCTTATGTTGTACTTTCCAACATTGTTGAATCATTGTAGTTCCTTTATGACCATGATGACTCTGCCCAACAGAGTGATGCATTTAAATTTCACTTGCTAAGCCCTGATGTATCAATTTCATTTTGTTTTCAATGCAGGAAGTATTTTTTCATTTTTGTGGCCTTGTTAACTTTGAGGAAAATTGACACAGGAGATAAGATACTAAACATGACCACATCTACATTCCTTGACACCCCATAAATGTGATCAAAGATTTAAACTGACACACATTGAGCTCTTATTTTACGCTCTCTCTTGTGGAAATTAATGTGATGGAACTACAAATGGTACAATATGTACGTAGTTGTCTAAACTTGAAAGTGATTGTTAACAATGAAGATAGATTATGCATAGTTTTATATTTTTCTGCTATAAAATAATTAAGTTTATCTTATTTCATTTTACCTTGTCCTTTCTTTGTATCTGTCCTGTACTTTTAGGTTTTTCCGCATAGGGATGTTTGTGCCTAGGGACGGAGCCACATTAGGCCCACCCCCCCAAAAAATGTGGCTCCTCATTTTGTAAGTTTTTTATATAATATGACGCCACTAAAATTCTTGATTTCTAAAATTGCCCCTCGGGCGTAATGTGACTCTTCAATATGTTTATTTATTTACTTTAGTTTATGTAATTTTACAAAGTTTCCCTATAAAATTCTTTAAATTCTTTCTTTTCTCTTTTACCTTTTTATTGTTTTTTTTGCCTTTTCAAGTTTCTATGATCCGTTTAAAAAAAATTGCATTCACTTTCTTCAATCAAACCCTAATTTTCCTGTTTTAAGTTCATTCATTTTTCTTTCCTTTTTATTTTCTTCTTCTTATTCTTTTTAAATTTGCATTCACTTTCTTCAATCAGACCCTAATTTTCCTCTGCAAAGTTCATTCATTTTTCTTTTCTTTTCTTTTATTTTTTCTTCTTCTTATTCTTCTATTTTTTCTCTTTTTAATATATATTTTTTAATTCTTGCACTCATATATGATGCATGTGCAAGGACATTTTTGTTTCTTATTCTTTTTTCTCTCTCTTGTTCTCTAAATTTAACTGCAATTTATGAACTTAATGTTCATATTTTATATTTTTGAACTTTTTTACTTTATATCTTTAGAATAATGACATAGTATTTGAATCTTGATTATTGAAATTCTATTTTTTGGCTTAATATTTTGCTGCACTGTTAGTTATTAAAAATAAAAAAATTGATCATGCTCATTGCAACTCCCCTGAAATAAGTTTATGGTTCCGTCCCTGTTTGTGCCTTATGTTGTCCAACCACATTAGTTTTACATTGTTTGGGTATTTATATAGATAGTCCTATAGATGGTTAGCAAGTGATAAAATGTTTGTTTTTTGCCTTGTGTTGTTCAACCACATTAGTTTTCCTTCGTTTGCGTAGTTCTATAGATGCTTGTTATGTGATAAAATGGGCATGAAACGTTAGTACCTGAACATGAGGCTTTGATAGAGAGTTGTCCAAGGTCCACGATTTCCATCACGTAATGATTTCTGTCCTTGGGTAGACATGGAACACCCTTAAACAATGGATATGAACAATTAGGTTAATAAAGCTGGCAATTGCTAATGCTGTAATTGTTCTTGAAGTTGGTATCATCAAAACTGCTCTTTGTACTCTTCTTTGCTTACTAGTTTGCATACTATTCCGGGCAGAATAGGTTTGTCAAATATTATTGTTAATAATAATTCATAGAACTAATCATCTCTATTGATTTCGCTGAAGAGAAGCAGAATTAAATGACTTGCATTTTAAAGAGTTGCATCCTATCCCAAACAAGTTACTTTTCTTCCTAATTGATTGCAGTATAAACACGCACATGGACAGACACTCTCTCTTTCAATTCTCTCTTTCTACCCATTAGTCTTCCTCTTTCTCACTGTAGGTTATTTCTCCCACATGGAGTCGTAAAATAGTCTCATATGCTGGTGTTTGATTTTGTGCAGGGTGTTTTAGAGGCTGTTCGGATAAGTCTGGCAGGTTATCCCACTCGGAAAACTTATCACGAGTTTGTGGATCGCTTTGGACTAATAGCTTTGGATATTATGGATGGAAGGTGGGTTACTAGTGGTGTGTTTTGTAGTGCTTATTGAGTATTTTTTCTAAACGATTTGCTCTTATTGTTTATACTGCATGTTTCTGAATTTCGGTTTGTTGTTTCTTTTGCAAGTAATATGTCAATGTGTAACAAATAAATCTTTTTTGAATAAATATACCTCAGTGATCCCTCAAATCTGTTTAGTAGCATTTATTTCTTTTTTCCTCCTTTTGCATGCTTTTCCAATCTGCTGCACTTCATCTTCTACAATTCTTTTTTTTGGCCCCTCCATTTTAGGAATACAATTTCTCATGGCCTATAGAGCCGTAGTTCGTGATTTTATGTGGGATTTGGTTTCAACATGCTTCCATGTCTTGAGAAAAGAGAGTTAATGTGGCCCACCCCATCCATATGGGATAGAAGGCAAGGATGATGATGATGATGATGTATGCTTTTGATGAAAGAAGGGCATTGCTGTTGAATTGTTCTTTCTTTAATATAAATGGTATAGTGGACCAGTTCAAGGTTGAGGGCATGGTGTAATTCACCTTACATATGAATGGAATCATATCTAGATGTTTGCATAATGACAATTTTCTATTATATATCCATACAGATCCTTTCACATATGTTGTGCATTGTTTGCTGATATATATATATATATATATATATCTTTTTTGTTGTTTTTGTTCTTTTTCCTCCATCTTTACTATTATTTGATGTCTGATTTTTTGCTTACCTATATGATGCTTTTACAGTTATGACGCAAAAATTACGACAGAGAAAATACTGCAAAATTTAAAGCTTGAGAATTTCCAAGTATGCTTCTGCAGATTTCAATTAAAATTGTTATCCTAAGTTCTATCTTAATTTGTTGTGATTATTTATAATTTTAGATTATTAACTCTTTCCATTGTTACCTTCCTGAAAAAAAAACTGTTTTAAATTGTAAATTAATTACGCTTATAAAGTGACAGTTGTTGGATATTCCATTTATCTATTTTATTCATGTTCTTGCATTTATTCACTTTTTGTTTGCAGCTAGGGAAGACCAAAGTTTTTCTTAGAGCTGGTCAGATTGGTGTGTTGGATTCCCGACGTGCTGAGGTATTGGATTTTGCTGCAAAGCGTATACAGGGTCGACTCCGGACATTCAATTCACGCAGGGATTTTGTCTCAACCCGAGCAGCTGCAATTTCCCTACAAGCATACTGCAGAGGTTGTTCACTTAATATAATTTATATTTTAGGCAGTTTAATCTGTAACTTTGTTTTTTTGTTTTTTGATTTTTGAACTAGATTTCTTTAATAAAAATATTTCTGTTACAATTTTCTTTTTTACTTGGTCTTCTTAATGTAGAACTTAGTATTGCTTGGAGAGAGGTAAAATGTTGATCCAAGTGATAGTTGTTATCTTGAATTGAATCTCCTGATAGGTTTAGAAGGTGAGGAAGTATCCAGATTCTATTTGGGTTTACAAATGTGGTATGTAAGATTCTGTTTCTTGAACAATGCCCTTTGAATAATACAAGGTAGGTTTTTTGAATAGTTAGATAAAAAGGGAGTGCAACATGGTAGAACACTTGACATTCCAGAATAGCTCTTTTGATGAGTAGTTTACTGTGGGCTACGGTTTGGATATCTTTGAACTTCAGTGGTTGAAAGGTAGGATAGAGTTTTATATCTGTGAATGACTAAAATATGGGTCATTGCTTTCTGCAGCAGTAAAAGCTTGGGTTGCAAGATTTGAGAATATGGATCCATGGCTAAGAGCTGCCAATTTGTTCCTAATATTGTGAAAGGCTAGGTCTGTATTTGGTTTACCTATCCCAATGCCATGTGTTGCCAGGATAAGCACTAGATTCCGGCCTATGTGTAAATGGGCTGGAATATATTCGCAGTCGGGTTTTGATCCAGGCATGATAGTGATTTTGGGAATAGGCTTGGTTTCTCTCGTCGAAGTGAAGGTTTGTGTGAGGGAGTTACGGTTTGTGTAGGTCGGGATGTGAAGGTGAAGCTTGATGATGAAACGGCCTCTGTTCTATTGAAGGAGTTATGGGACCATTTGGCTTTGAAAGGTTTTCTTTGTGACTTAGGAGGCGTTTTGACAGAGAAGCTTGTTTCGCAGTTTTGCTTGCATTCCTTTTTCTGTTCTTGATGATTGGGAGGGAGCTGCAGGTTCTTCCTTTGATGGGGACTCGGGCATGATTCCATGGGAAGACTTGGAACAAGTAGTGAATTTGGCTGTTGTTCCGCAAGGGGGGAATTGGGCAAGTGACTCGACTGATGTTGGAGTAAATGACCTTGAGGAGGAGTGGGTGAGGGAGAAGGGTTTGGAAGTGGGTCCTTTGTTGGGTGTTTCTTTTGAGGGTAGGGTGTATGAGGCGATGTGTTTGTTTAATGATGTTCTCAATTCTCATTTTAAGGAAAAGGTGAGTGGTAAATTAGGGTTGCAGGAGGAGAGAGGGGAGACAGTGATGCAAAGTCCCAATGATTTTATCACGTATGAAAGGAGAAATAGGGGTCCAGATCAGGAGGGAGAGGTGGTGGAAGGAGGGGAGGGTTTACTTTTCCACGTGTTCCCCTATGAAGCTACAAATTCTTTCATGGAATGTCTGGGGTCTCAATGACCCGGTTAGAAGGAAAGTGGTGAAGTCGGTTATTTGTAAAGGTGGGGGTCATGTGGTGTGTCTCCAAGAGACCAAACTTGCTTCGATGTCTAATAGGATTGTGAGGAGTCTTTGGGGTGGGAGATTTGTGGAGTGGATTGCTTTGGATGCTGTTGGTTCCTCGGGGGGCATCTTGATCATGTGGGATAACAGTTGGGTGTCTAAAGTGGATGCTCAGGTTGGGCGTTTCTCTATTTCATGCATTCTTGCTTTGGTAGAGGATGGTGTTCATTGGGTTTTTTCGGGTGTTTATGGTCCTTCGGAGGACGGTGAGCACCACTTGCTTTGGGAGGAGTTGGGGGAGATTTGAAGTCGATGGTGTTTGCCTTGGTGTATTGGAGGGGACTTCAATGTTGTTCGTTCTCCGTTCGAGAGGTCAACGGGAGGTAGGTGGACGTCTGATATGGAGGCTCTCTTGGAGTTTATTGATGAGTTTGGGCTGGTTGATTTGCCTTTGGTTGGAGGACCGTTTACTTGGTCCAGTGGTCGCTCTTCCCCTACCCTTTCTCGGATTGACAGATTCCTTGTGTCGAGGGAGTGGGAGGAGAGGTTCTCTGATGTTGTTCAGGCTACTTTGGCTCATCCTATCTCTGACCATGTTCCGTTGATGTTGGATTGTGGCGGATTGTGTAGTAGACGTTCTCCTTTCAGATTCGAGAATATGTGGCTGTGGGCTGAGGGTTTTCTGGAGAGGATCCGTCTTTGGTGGGGGTGGTATGGTGTGGTTGGCACCCCTAATCATGTGCTTGCAGGCAGATTGCGTCTCTTAAAGGAGAATCTTAAGACTTGGAATAAAGAGGTCTTTGGGAATCTAGAATGGAGAAAAAATCGGGTTCTTGCTGAGATTGCGGCTATTGACCGGATGGAGGGTTAAGGGGATTTGGTGGAAGCTTTGAAGGTTAGAGGGCGGAGTGCAAGGCGGAGTTTACTGAGATTGCAATCATGGAGGAGATCTCGTGGAGGCAAAAATCTCGAGCTTTGTGGCTTAAGGAGGGGGATAGAAACACAAAATTTTTCCACAGATTGGCCAATGCTCATAGAAGAGGCAATCATATAGGGAGGATTTGGGTTGAGGGGGTTATTTTTTGTAAGGAGGAGAAGATCTGCAAAGGATTTTCAGAGTTTTTTGAGAAGTTGTTCACAGAGACTGTTGAGGGGAGACCTTTGCTTGAAGGGATGCAGTTTGACTCTATTTCTTAGGAGTGCTTAGGCTTGGAGTTGCCTTTTTCTGAGGAGGAAGTTCTGATTGCTTTGAAGAGATGGTTTTACCACGAGATTTCTTTTAGAGTGCTGGGAGGTGGTTAAGGGGTGAGGTGATGGGCACTTTTCATGCTTTCCATTCTCGGGGATCTTTTGAGAAAAGCTTGAATGCCACGTTCATTGCTCTCATTCCAAAAGGGAAGAGGGGGGGGGGGGGGGGGGGGGGAGTTCTTACTTATAAAAAAAAAAAACAAAAAAAGATTGCGGAAAGTTATGGATGGCATCATTTCGGACTCTCAAAACGCTTTTGTCGGAGGCCGTCAGATTCTAGATTCAGTCCTTATTGCAAGTGAGTGTGTGGACTCCAGATTGCGTAGTGGGGTCCCGGGTGTTCTTTGTAAGTTGGACATTGAGAAGGCGTATGACCATGTGAGTTGGAGCTTCCTTCTTTACTTAATGGAGAGGATGGGGTTCGGGGGGGGGGGGGGGGGTAGGGAAGCGTTGGATGTTAGGGATTTTTCTTACTTATCAAAAAAAAAAAAAAAAAAAAAAGATTGCGGAAAGTTATAGATGGCATCATTTCGGACTCTCAAAACGCTTTTGTCGGAGGCCGTCAGATTCTGGATTCAGTCTTTATTGCAAGTGAGTGTGTGGACTCCAGATTGCGTAGTGGGGTCTCGGGTGTTCTGTGTAAGTTGGACATTGAGAAGGCGCAAGACCATGTTAGTTGGAGCTTCCTTGTTTACCTGATGGAGAGGATGGGTTTCGAGGTGGAGGAGATGGATGCATTTTTGTATTTCCGTGCTCGCTTTTCGATCCTTGTTAATGGTGCTCTTACCGGTTTTTTCTCTAGCTCAAGGGGCTTGAGACAGGGGGATCCTTGCTCCCTCTTCTTGTTCTTGTTTGTGATGGAGGCCCTTAGTAGATTGATGAGAAGGGCTACCGAGTTGGGTCTTTGGAGGGGCTTTTGGGTGGGCAAGGATACTGTTTCTCAGTTGGAGATCTCTCATTTGATGTTTGTTGATGATACTTTAGTTCTTTGTGATGCGAATGTGTCCCAGATCAGATATCTGAGATGTGTTTTGATTTGGTTCCAAGTTGTCTCAGGCCTTAAGGTGAATGTGGGCAAGAGTGTTTTGGTGCCGGTTGGGGAGGTTCCTGAGATTGAGGCTTTTGCTGACATTCTTGGTTGTCGTACTGGTTCATTTCCCATTTCTTACTTAGGTTTGCCTCTGGGTGCTCCTTCGAGGTGTATGGGGATTTGGGACCCAGTGGTGGATAGATTTGAGAGAAGGTTGGCGGGTTGGAAGAAGCAGTATCTTTCCAAGGGCAGCAGGGTCACTCTAATTAAGAGCACCCTCTCTTGTCTTCCCACTTATTTTATTTCTCTTTTTCAGATTCCCTCTTCAGTTGCGGAGAGGATTGAGAGGTTGCAGTGTAATTTTCTGTGGGGTGGTAGAGGTGATGAGTTTAAGTTTCATTTGGTGCGATGGGAACAGGTTTGCAGGCCAATTCGGAAAGGTGGGTTGGGTCTTCGTAGATTGGTGCCTTTTAATACTTGGGAAATGGTTGTGGAGGTTTGGTGTGGAGAGACATTGGCTTTGGAGGAGGGTTGTGGCTTGTCGTCTTGGGGAGATGAGAGGAGGGTGGAGTTCTCTGGAAGTAAGGGATCCTCTGGGGGTGGGGGTCTGGAAATTTATTCGGAAGGGTTGGGATGAATTTTACAAACACATTCGGTTTTGTCTTAGAGATGGGAGGAGGATTTGTTTTTGGGAGGATGTGTGGTGTGGAGATGTTCCTCTCGCTCTCGCTTTTCTTCAGCTTTACATGATTGCTTCAGATAGGCAGGCCATGGTGGTTAACTGTTATCATCTTGATATTGGGAGATTGGTTTGGGATGTTCGATTCAGGCGTTTCTTTCAAGATTGGGATATCGAGTAGTCCATTCGTTTCTTGGAGCTGTTGTATCGCCAGAGGATTATGGTGGAGGATTCGGATTGTTGGTCTTGGGTTGCAAACTCCCAGGGGCGTTTTGAGGTGAGGTCTTTCTTCAGGTGTCTCTCCTTTGATCTTGAAGTTCGTTTTCCTTGGAAGTCTGTTTGGCGTTCTAAGGCTCCTCTCAAGGTGGCTTTCTTTGTGTGGACTTTGGTTCTGGGTAGGATCTTAACCCTGGATAATTTGAGGAGAAGTCAGGTGGCGGTTAATCGTTGTTATATGTGTCTTCGTGATGAGGAATCAGTGAATCACCTTCTCATTCATTGCTCTTTAGCTGGAGAGTGTTGGGATTTGATGCTTGGCTTATTTGGGTTTTCTTTGGTTATGCCAAGATCCGCTAGAGGGTTGATTGAGGCGTGGAGAGGTTGCCCTGTGGGGGTTCATTGTCAGGATGCGTAGAGGGCTATGCCGCTTTGTGTGTGGTGGTGTATTTGGCTTGAAAGGAATAGGAGATATTTTGAAGGAAAGGTGATGTCGATTTCGGTGCTTAAATTCTCGATTTTTTCCACTCTTTTTTTGTTGGGTTTCAGGGAGAGATCATAGATCGTTGGAGGAGATTGTTGACTTTTTGGCCTCCTTGAAGGCTTAAGGCCTTTGTGGTCTTTTGTATTTTTCTTGGGATCTACTCCCCTTTTGAGCGTTTTTTATTAAAATTTTATTTATCAAAAAAAAAAAAAAAAAAAAAAATTGAAGGTATTATGCTGCTAAATATAACTTGTTGGGTTTTGACTGGTGAGGTAAAGGTTCGGCCATTGGGGAGGTCTTCGGTTTTTGGGTGAACTGATAATATTTAGGGCTCAGTTGTTTTTATTTATTTATGAAGTGGCTGATATCAGGTTCCTGTAGTTATATATTATTTAGTTATTTTTGTTTCAAGACTGGTCTTCTTTTGGTTGAATAAGAATTGTACAGAAAGGTGGAGATGCAGAAAAGCATTCCTGTTAGTCTTGTGGTTATGGCTTTTGAAAAGCATTATGTTGAGGTGATGCAAATAATTAATTGTCTTGAAAAGTGTCTAGTCAAAGTTTATCAAGCAGTAATATTGGTATGGGAATCTGAAGATGTCATGGGAATGGTAAAAGATGTTATTGATGTCCAGAAAAGTGCAGTGTCATTAATAGTTGTAATATAAAATGGACATCCCTATTTATCTGCTGTAACCAAGTCTTATAGTATAATTTTGATTTATTATCACTTTATAAACAATTCTGGCTTTTCCCAGATTTCCGTTGGGAAATCTTGGCTCCAACTGTGATTGAGCAACCCTAGTCTTTCTCACTGCTGTTAGAAAATTTGTTTTTTTCTTCTGTTTTCTTCAGAAAGAGTGTGCCTGGTAGCGGATGTCACTATAGTACGGTAGGTGGGAGAAAATGATTTTTTGTTGGTTATCGATAAAAAGTACAACCATTGCCACCGTTAGTGTGCCCCACCATTGAAGCAATCTGTCATCTGTCATCTACTGCCACTGCACCGCACCACCTCAATGAGAATCTTTGTGCACTCCGCTGCTAATACCAAAACGATCTCCACTAGAGCTTTTTACTTTGACATCATACTCGTATATGTTCTAGTGATTGACATAATCATTTGTATGCTTGCTTTCTCCTTCAGAAAACACCCAAAGAGTCACGGAAATTACCATATTGTTCTTCTCCATTGTTTCTTACCTAAGTAGCACATGCACAGACACAATATGGCACCAGATATGCCGGCACATCGAATCCTAAAAAAGTAGGACATAGGCACGGAAATGTATAGATATAAACTTCTATTTATAAACATCTATTTCAAAAGACAATTATTGAACTTTATTTATTTATTAATTTTAATTCCAAGGATTACATAGTTTTGAAGATGATATGCTTATATCATAACAATGATTTTTTTATTTATATTTTTTATTCTACTATTCTACCTTTGCCATTGCAATTATATTCTTATCATATATGAGGAGTTTCATTGCTTCCTTGACTTGGTATAATGTCAATTTTCTCGTAGAAAAAAATTTGGACACTATTCTTATATGTGTTTGTTTAATATAAGATATGTACTGTGAATCTACGATGTGTTGACAAAGTGGGATGCATCAGCTAAATTGTCCAGAAAAATGAATTTGTTTTTAAATTATGGAAATGTCCATGAAGTGTAGGACTTGAGAGTGTATATATTTGTGTCTTGGTGCTTGATTTTTTTTTTCTTTTCCTTTTGCAGGCCATATTGCACGAAGTATGTTTGCAGCATTACGAGAGGCAGCAGCTGCTATTTCAATACAAAAATATGTCCGCAGGTGGCTATTAAGGCATGCCTATATTCAGATTTACTCTTGTGCTGTATTGATGCAATCGAGTATCCGTTGTTTTTCAACCCGTCGAATATTTTTGCACAGAAAGGAGCATAGAGCTGCTACTCGAATTCAGGTGAACTTGTCTTGGATTTCGGTATTTTACTTTTGCTACTATTCTAATGTGTTTATATGTAGAGTATATGACAAATTTTCTTGTTCCTTCTTACACAAGTTAAAAAAACCAAAAGTTTGTTTTCATGTATTACATCCTGGCCTAGTTACACATTAAATAAATCTGAAGTTAAATATATGGTTAAATTAAACCAAAATTAGATATTGAAATCTGCAGTCTAAATCATTGCATACCTTTGGCAATGATACTAGTAAAGCTAGTTGAAGGGAAATCAACTCAAAGTTGTTTGCTTATTCTTGAATTGTGAATGTATAAATGTCATAGTTGATAGAAAATTGACTGCAATTTAAAATGAGGAAGTGAAGGATTCGGCTAATCGATCCTGCTCTATTCGAGCAAAACACATAAAAATTTGCATCTAGCCTTTTAGGGGTAGGAAAAAGGGACTTCTATTGATTGAGAATGGAGTTCAAAAGAAGGGTGAGAGGTCCTCTAGAAGTGAAAGTATTGATTGAAAGAAGCAAATAAATGAACACAGCAACAAGTAAGGTGGATAGAATGTACCCTATAGTTCACATTTGAATTCCTGCTTGCTATGGTTGGAAATTGCCTCCCAATTGCATCAAACAAAAGCAAAGGTTCTCTTAATTATATGATGGATCACATGGGGTATATGCTAGCATATCCTTAGATTTATCAATATCCAATATTACTTATTGTCCATGTTAGGTATTCTTACCCCTCATCGAACCTTGAATCATAATAAATAATTATGTGAAACAGCAATCTCTACTCATGTAGAGTGTGAGCATCTTGCTTGACAATTCGAATTTTGTAAACTATGTGATCATTGATCAAAGATATCAATGGTGAAGAAATGTGAAACCCACAATTTAAAATTATATATATATATGTACACTGTATCTTAGGAATTTCAGAAAAATGATGACATGGGTGTGCAAAAAGTTAATGTTATTAATGTTATAAGTTAGGTTATGTACTATAGAGAAGTACTTGTCCCTTGCATTTTGCATCTTATGTAGCATTAAATATACTTTGCTCTTGCATTATCACTCTCTGCTATGCTCTTTATATGACGTGTGTTTTATTGCAAACAGGGTGACATGCATACATTTTGGTGAAAGTTATGATAATTCATGATTTGATTTGAAAAGCCCATCTAATATTTACCCATAAAATGAAATTATTTGACTTTATATATCTTTATTACACATAAAATCATTCTGTTGGTGCAAATTTTTTTTTTCTTTTTTTCTTTTATTTATTTTTTTGTTTTTGTTTTTTGGGGGATCACTTCAACTTTACCCAAAATCATTTTTGTTGGGGCAACTTTCTTTTTTCTTTTTTGGTTGGATCACTTTCATTTTCTTGTGTATTGTCTTCAAAGTAGTTGTTAGTCTGTTTTAGATGACCTAAAAGCTCATTCATCCTTTCCTGGCATTTAACATAATCTCGTAGGCTGCGTGGAGGATGTGCACGGTGCGCTCAGCTTTCCGTCATCGGCAAACTAATATTATAGCAATACAATGTCTTTGGAGGCGGAAAATGGCAAAAAAAGAGTTCCGGCGACTTAAACAGGTAAAAGAAACTTTATTAATCTCAGAATAATATTCATTTTCAAGGGTCCTAGATTTAGTTTTATGTTGGAATAAAGTAGAGTTTTTAGATTTGGAATGAAAGCTTCAATGCAATCATCTGTATCTTTGTCTTTATTTTTATTGAAATTTTCATCATCTCTGCCACATTGGCTGATTCCATAACTGATTTATTCTCAGATTATATACCCGATAATCCCCAGTATTTGTTGAATAGCCTAGTATTTATTCTTTGTCGCCACTTGGAATCAAATTTACTTAATTCTTCTTTCTCTCTCTCTCTCTCTCTGTTTTTATTTTTGGGGTAAATTATTCTCTTGTATTTCTTTGAAAAATAATTTTAAGATATTTTTAATTATTCTTTCTATTAAACCATGAGAGATATTTCGTAGGGTGTCTTAGTATTTGGCTTCAATTAATCTCTTTTTTTCTGGTGATAAGCATGACACTCGCATTCATTTCCCAACTGTTAGTTGAGTGTTGCACCTCTCCTTATGGGTCATCTGTGATACCACTTAAACTAGATGCTGTTTTCTCTCCCGTTTGGTTTTTATTATTTTTCTGGTTGTTTCATATAAAGAAGTGAAGATCTCATTAAAATTGCAAATCATGTTTGGTACAAGTGAACATGACAGTGATTTGTCTGAATTTCTTAAACTATATATGATAGACCTATTTATTACCAAAAGCTTGATAATAATGTTTTATATGTGGTGATTGCATATTTTTGTACAGGTCATTGTGTGGATATTTTTACATTCTTCTACATGAAATGTTCACTGATAAATATGAACTGTAACACACTCTGAGTAAGCTTTTATCTTGTAAGGCATTTGTAGCCAACAGGAAATTTCCCCTGTTAGGCAAACAAATCCCTATTATGAGCGCGCTGTGGAGGCAGAGTGAAGTCAGTAGTAATTTTGGCTCCTTTTAAGATTGAAATTCTGTTAGAAAAGGCTGCTTGTTAGGGGAACATATTGGTATAGTAAATCTGTAAGGTAAATGATAGGTATGAAGTGGATAACAATGCTTAAGACAACTTTAAGAAATCATGGTTCCGAATTAAAAGCTGAATATTTGCGTATTTTGAGTACTTTATATTATTGCATGAAACTTTAAGTATAGTTTTATTGAATCTGGATATCATCAGATTTCGTATATTTGCCATGTCAGATTACAGAAAATCTGGAAGATATTGCTTTCTGAATTTTTTTACAATTATTGGGAAACAATTGTCTTTGATGCAGCAGGAGGCAAGGCGGTCCCTGTATTTTTATCTTTAATCCACAGGAGAGATAGATAGAACTTTGACTTGAGGAGTAATATTAATGGTGGCTAGATAATGATGTCATCCCGTTCGAGAAAGTAAAATATACCTAATTGAGTGTCATGAAAACCTTGGCTGGGTTACTTTCTGTAAAGCTTTGAACTGACAAGAAGCCGTCATTGGAGTTCTTATTACATGCTTTAGCCAAAAGGAAATAGTCTGTACAGCAATTAACGACGACAACACACAGCTATGTACACATTGATTTTGTGAGCACATACGATTATTAAAAGCTTTGTCACTAACTATCATGGTAACACTAAAATTTGTTAGAATGACTGTTGAATATAGTGGCTATACCAAAATGAAAGGTAATAAGGATTGTGCCCTCAATAAGCATTGGGTTTCAAAATTATATTTGCTTCATTAATGCATACTAAATATGCTTTGGGTCCTTTTGATTGAGGGAAAAGAAACGAGATCATTTCTGGTAACGCGTACTTAATAGAGTGAAGTTCTTCATATAGAGGTTTATAACAGATTTAGTTTTTAAGCACTTATGGTTTATGCAATATTTGCATGATTTTAATATGATGTCATACTTTTTGGTTATAGTTTGAAGTGTCATACTTCATCTATTTATTTTATGCAGGAAGCTAATGAGGCAGGCGCATTGCGCTTGGCGAAGAGTAAACTTGAGAAGCAATTGGAAGATCTTACATGGAGGTTGCATTTGGAAAAAAAACTAAGGGTAAATATCGTAGCTGCTGTCATTGGGTATATTAGCTAGTATGATCTTTGGTTATTAGGATGTTGTCCTTGTTCTATTATGTCATTAGTTTATTTTATCAATTTAGTCCATATCTAATTCTTTCCAAGTACTAAGCATGAAAAAATCAAATAAGCTTTTTGTTTTGTAGCCACTTTTCCTAATTCCTTATTTCACTACAATTGCATTGAAATGTTTAATCTCTTCCTTCCACAATTTATGTTGGATTGGTTTGCAGCAAGCTAGCTGTCCTCTTTCTTGCTTTAAAAACTCATTTTCTATTTTTTCTACGCCCCTCCGTTAGCATTCAAGCTACTTCATGGATTGTTTGACTGCTACATGGAACTCTACCCTAATGGCAACACTCTGGAGTGCAGGTTTCTAGTGAAGATGCTAAATTACTGGAAATTTCGAAACTTCAGAAGACAGTGGAATCTTTAAGTCTTGAGTTAGATGCTGCTAAGTTGGCCACAGTTAATGAGTGCAACAAGAATGCAGTGCTTCAAAATCAGTTAGAATTATCAGCAAGAGAGAAATCTGCTTTGGAAAGAGAAGTCGTTGTGATGGCTGAACTGCGAAATGAAAGCGCATTTTTGAAGGTGACAACATTTTTCACTTTCATTGGTTTGAATTTAATAAATTATGTGCTCTTAATGAGTAAACAGCTGGAAGACCTAATACTAAATTACTCACAGTGCCACCTATGCGAAACTGTTTTGAATGAGATTAACCATTTTATCTTTATTGTGTCTACTTGTATCTACATCGTAAAGGTATATGGTATATTTACTTCGATTCATAATTTAGCCGTTCTGTTTATTTTTTCGGTGACCTAGCTGTCATACATCACCTGCTGTCCGCCAGATCCCACTCATTGGCCAGTCATTCTCATTTGGATATGCTTATTGAGTCTCCATTTCCTTGTTTGCTTTGCCATGGTTCTGTTTTCCCCTTTTTTTTCTCTCTGCTGATAAAATTTTGCATGTGCAAAAAACAAGGTTTTGGTTGAAATTATTTTTAAGATTTTGAATATTGATTTGCTCTGCATCTTTGTTTATAAAAACTCATATTAAACCTAAAAAACTTGGAGTGGGATAATTTGAATTTGGCATATCATTTTTACCTCAGTAGTTTGCAAATCCTTTCATAATTTTGAGATCATTCTGTGGTGATTATTGATAGAATAATGATTTTGTTTAGAGTTGGTTTTTGCTAGCTGGAAATAGATCTGGAGAATATGGTGTGCAGCATACATCGCTGTTAGGATTATAAAGTTTATAGTCTAAGTGTTGGCTAATTTCGTAGACCAAAACATACAAATGTAATTCTTGACTATGGTCATTCAGTTCCGTACTCTTCAAAGTTTTTTAGAAGTGATGATTTATGTTTAGAAGTGATGGTTGGATCATATGTGAAGTGTTTGGATGAAGTTTCTACTCCCACAAAGGACAAATTCAACTTCTTCAGCAAAATAAGGTTATAAAGTAAATATACTCGAACAATCATCTCCACCATTTAGGATCATGCATACATATTTACTTAATCGAGTTTCAAAGTTTTCTAAACTTACTTGGTCATCCATAAACATAGTTTTGAATATGCATGTTCAATTTGCAAATTCAGTTTTGCAGCTTTTAAACTGAGTTTGCACTCCCAGATCCATCGAGGGTTATTATATCATTTTACTGTTAAAATTGAACTTTCGATCCATGCAGCATGAAGCATTGATGGATCAAAGTATTGATCGATAATTACTCCAGGTAGGGTTCAATCAAAGCACCCTTAAACTTTGATCGATCGACCCCTGTATGGGTATCGATCGACAAAAGCGGAAAAAGGCGATATCTGAATAATTGGTCACTAAATTGTTTCGTTATTTAATTTATGGAAAGTTGTCCTATGATTGCCCATAAATGCAGAGTTTCTATAAACCCTAAAATGTGTGTGAATATCAAGAGAAAAATGAATACACACTTTATATGCATTGAGGGTTTTAGTTTATGAATCCACGCCATGGTGTGCGAATATCAAGAGAAAAACACATACACACTTTATATGCATTGAGGGTTTCAGTTTATGAATCCACGCCATTCATAGATGTTTGTTTATTTTATTGTTTATTTCTTTAACCACAAGAGTGAAAACTTCATGTTCTTCATATGTTCATACATACGAGAGTTTATCTTGTGAGTTTGAAAGAGTGAGTGCATCGATTTGTTTTTCATCATACATCATTCACACTAGTCATGGTGATTTTGATGAATGGTAAGTATTGACACTGTTGCTGCGGATACCGAAGAGACTCACAATCATATTTTCAAAGACGCAGAGTTCGATTCCACTGAACTGCTGTTAGATGGATTGGCTGAAGGACGACCTTAAGAGATCTTCTTAATGTGAAGATTTGGTGCTTTGCTGAGTTTGAAGATAGGACTAGAGTTCATGGGTGTTGAACGGATCTAGGGTTGTATCTCTTTCTTCATAGTGGATTAATTTGCTGGACTAGGTCCTCTGAAATTTTGACTTATCAGTTGGGTAGGTTTTTTCACGTAAAATCTTGTGTGCATTCTAACCTTACTCATTACACTTTATGTTGCTTTAAATATTCATGTTGATGAGTTTGTTTAATTTATCAAGCACGATTGAATGATAGGAATGTTAAGTTATATGCTTTTGATATATTAATCAATCAAGCTTATGAGTTTATTTAATTGTTTTAAAGCAATTTTTAGATTATAAAAGTTAATCTTGTTATTTTTATTTATAGAGTTGTTTCAATTGCATCATCAAGGAACTGAATTGATTGATTTGACTTAAAGTGGTATCAGAGTTTTATATATCAATTCTGTCTTTTAATGTTTAAATTGTTGAAAATTGGTAATTGTTCCTTCTTGACCTATCCACCCCCTCTAGGTCTTGGGATATTACGATGATAAACGATCCTGTTTGCGTTTGAGGATTTGGTTGTTTCCGTACGGACTCAAGTGAGCTCTTCAAATATTGTTCCGGTTGAATTGATAAAACCCTATCAACCGCAAATACAATGTGCTGAATGGTCAACTATTTTGTTAATGCTTGTCCAACTGATGCTATTATCTAATGTGAACCTTTTGGTTTGCTGTAATGCTTCTTAAAATACACAGGAAATAAAAAATGTTGATCAAAGGGGAGTTCAAACTATTACACAAGTGTTAGGAAATGAATGAAAAAGAAGTGGCAACTCATTGTGCAATGTGCTGGTAAAGAAAATCTTAAAAAATAAATAAAATTGGGAATCGGCTTAGGGAAGTGCTTGACGAGTTGATGGGTCCCCATCAGTCGGCTTTCATTAAAGAACATCAGTGAAAACATTCTTCTGGCTCATGAGCTGGTCCTTTGTGCTAGGTTAGATATTTGCAAGGTGTACGACTCCATTCCTTGGGATGCTGTCCTTAATAACCTTTAATCCTTGATGTTTCTTGAGGTGGGTGTAATCTTTATCCTTAATGGGTGAGTTTTTGTCTGTTATTGAAGTCTTTCCTTTTCCTTTTCTCCCTATAGCTGAATTTTGTTAAAAAATAAAAGTAGGAGAAATAACTTCCAACAAGGAGAAAATATTGTCCTACTCCCTAAAGAAACTTATTTTCAATAATTCGTTTTAGGGGCCATTGCCTGGTGTACTGGTAGAATGCATGGCTGCCGAGCATGAGAATTTGGAGGGTCAGGGTATTTTCGCGGATTCCTTGAAGCTTAGGAGGGAGGAGTGTCAGGCGGAGTTTGCTGAGATTGCTATCATGGAGGAGATTTCGTGGAGGCAAAAGTCTAGAGCGTTGTGGCTCAAGGAAGGTGACAAAAACACGAAGTTCTTTCATAGACTTGCCAATGCTCATAGAAGGGGCAATCACATTGGGAGGATTCGGGTGGATGGGGAGGTGTTTTGTAAGGAGGAGGACATTTGTAAAGATTTTGTTGAGTATTTTTCGAAGTTGTTCATTGAACCTTCTGGTTGGCGACCTTTTCTTGCAGGGCTCCATTTTGATTCTAGTTCGAGTGAGGAGTGCTCTATTTTTGGAGGAGCCATTTTCTGAGGAGGAAGTTTTGACCGCTTTGAAGAGCTGTAATGGGGATCAAGCCCCATGTCCTGATGGTTTTTCAATGAGATTCCTCTTGGAGTGCTGGGAGGTGGTTTGAGAGGAGGTGATGGGTTCTTTCCACGCCTTTCATTCTCGGGGCTCTTTTGAGAAAAGTTTGAATGCCACTTTTATTGCTCTCATTCCGAAAAAGGGAGGGGCGCTGGATTTTAGGGATTTTCGCCCTATTAGCTTGGGGGTTGCTTTTACAAGTTGATTGCAAAAGTCTTGGCTTTAAGGTTGGGGACGGTTCTGGATGGTGTTATTTTTCATTCTCAGAATGCTTTTGTGGGAGGTCGTCAGATTTTGGATTCAGTTTTTATTTCTAGCGAATGTGTGGACTTCAGATTGAGCAGTGGGATTCCGGGTGTTTTGTGCAAGCTGGATATAGAGAAGGCGTATGATCATGTTAATTGAAACTTCCTCCTCCACTTATTGGAGAGGATGGGGTTTGGTGAGCGATGGAGGAGATGGATCCATTTTTGTTTCTTTAGTGCTCGTTTCTCTATTTTTTGTGAATGGTGCTCCGTCGGGGTTTTTCTCTAGTTCGAGGGGATTGAGACAAGGGGATCCGCTTTCTCCTTTCCTTTTCTTTTTTGTGATGAGGCTCTTAGTAGATTGTTGAAGAGAGCTGTTGAGTTGGGGTTTTTGAGAGTTTTTCGGGTGGGCAGAGATGTTGCTAGTCAGTTGGAAATTTCCCACTTGATGTTTGCCGATGATACTTTAGTTCTTTGTGATGCTGATGCGTCCCAAGTGAGGTATTTGAGATGTGTTTTGATTTGGTTCCAAGTTGTTTCTGGGCTTAAGGAGAATGTAGGAAAGAGCGTTCTGGTTCCGGTTGGGGAGGTCCCTGAGATCAAGATGTTTGCTCAGATTCTTGGATGTCGCACTGGCTCTTTCCCCATTTCTTACTTAGGGTTGCCTCTGGGAGCCCCTTCGAGATGTGTGGGGTGCTGGGACCCGATTGTGGATAGATTTGAGAGGAGCGGATTGGAAGAAGCAGTATCTCTCTAAGGGAGAAAGGGTCACGCTGATCAAGAGTACCCTTTCTAGCCTCCCTACTTATTTTATCTCTTTTTCAAATTCCTTCTTCTGTGGCTGAGAGAATTGAGAGGTTGCTCCGCAATTTTCTTTTTTTTTGGGGGGAGGGGGGAGGATAGGAGTTCAAGTACCATCTGGTTCATTGGGAGCAGGTGTGTCTCGTCCGATTCGTTGAGGAGGTTTAGGGCTTAGGAGGTTATTGCCTTTCAATAAGGCTCTCCTCGGGAAATGGCTTTGGAGGTTTGGGGTTGAGAGGCATTGGCTTTGGAGGAGAGTTATCGCTTGCTAATTTGGAGAGAACAGTGGAGGGTGGAGTTCTCTTGAGGTGCGTGGCCCTAGGGGGTGGGGGTTTGGACCTTCATTCGGAAGGGGTGGGAGGATTTTTGCAATCATGTTTGCTTTCGTATAGGATTAGATTTTGGGAGAATGTTTGGTGTGGGGAGCTTTCTCTTACTCTTTCTTTCCCTCGGCTCTTCAGGATTGCTTCTCCTATACAGGCCATGGTGGTTGACTGTTATCATCTTGATAACTAGAGACTGACTTGGGATGTTCAGTTTAGGAGGCATTTTGAGGATTGGGAGATAGAGGACGTTTCTCGTTTGTTGGAGGTTTTGTATAGCCAAGTGATCAGAGATGGGGATTCGGATGGTTGGCTTTGGATTCCTAACTCTTAGGGTCGGTTCGAGGTTAGGTCTTTTTTCAGGTGCCTTACAGTTTATGCTTGGGGCCCCTTCCCTTGGAAGTCTGTTTGGCGTTCTAAGGCCCCCCTCAAAGTGGCCTTCTTTACTTGGACTTCTGTTTTGGGAAAGATGTTAACCCAGGATAATTTGAGGAGGAGGAATCAGGTGGTGGTTAACCGTTGTTACTTGTGCTTGCGTGATGAGGAGACAGTTGATCATTTTCTGTTGCACTGCAGTATGGCCCGAGACTGCTGCGTTTTGATGTTTGGTTTGTTTGGAGTTCCCTGGGTTATGCCTTGTTCCACTAGAGGGTTGATTGAGGCTTGGAGAGGCTTCTCAGTTGGGCTCTCATTCGAGATGCCTGGAGGGCTACTCTTCTTTGGATTTGGTGGTGCATTTGGCTGGAGAGAAATCGGAGATATTTTGATGGAAAGGAGAAGCCTTTCTCTTTGCTTAAGTTCTCTATTATTTCCACTCTTTTTTGTTGGGTTTCAGGGAGAGATTATAGATCTTTAGAGGAGATTGTTTCTTTTTTGGCCTCTTTGAAGGCTTGAGGCTTTTTTTGGCCTTTGTGTTTCTTTGGGATCCGTTCCCCTTTTGAGCGTTTTTTATATATAAATTTTTACTTATAAAAAAAAATAATAATTTACAAGAGCAGCCACTTTTTGCAACTAAAACCAGAGGTTAAAATTGTTTCTAGTCTGCCTCTCCCAGCACCCTTAATTAAGAAGGGCCAGAATGGCTATATTACCTTTTTTTATTCGGTGAAATGATGTGAAGGGAATTGTATAGGTATGGCAAGAACAATTAAACCCCCTATATAAAAGTTTTCCTGTTCATAACACGTAAAACAGTTGTCCTAAAAAATCAGATGTTAAATTTTCTTTTAGGATGGGAAGTGAACTTATGCATTTGCTGAAATATGGATTTCTGGATCTCACATTAATACTGGACAAAGATTTAGACAGATTTCTGGACATAATCTGTTAATCCAAAAATATTTTCAGGAATCATTAGAAAACCATAGTAATCATACGTTATTCAATAACCTTCAGCAAGGCCCTAAAAATATTGGGTGTTCTATTGCTTGTTTTTTCTTCATGCACTAGAAGTATTTATATGTTCTTGATGGGTAGTAGCCATACATATGTCAATAATCATCACCAAGGCCTTAACCATATTGGGTGTTCTACGGCTTGCATTTTCTTAATGCACTAAAAGTATCAATATGGCATTGATGGGTATGGTGTGCCACATAACTAATTTTTTTTTTTTTTTTCTGATTTAATCTTTTCGACAGTTCTACAATTTGTCTTGTTGTAACTGTTGTCAGGGGCTTATTTGTTATTACTTATATAATGTTGGGGCTTATGTGTAATTTCTGAAACTTGTTATTATAAATAGAATGTGGTGGAAGGATGAAAGTATTCTTTCATTCTTTCTCTCATTCCTCGTCTCTCTCTCTTTTTCTCTCATTTGCTTTCTTCTCTTTTTCTTCTTCGTCTTCCTCTTCTTCTTCTTCTTCTTCTTTATCACTTACTCTTGATTTGATTATATCTTAAAGTCAACCATAACGTTGTGCTTCTTATTCCTGTATAGCTTCTTAGTTTTCACTTAATTAACAGATTTGGTTCGACTATTTCTTATGGGACACTTGCAACAATTAGTCTGAAGAGCATTCTTTTCCTTGCCTTTGTACCCTTCCATACCATATTTCCTGATTAAATAAATTTAAGTTTCCTATACCATCTTTCCTGATTACATGAACTTAGAATGACTATTGAAAAGAAGACTCTTAGATTCCATATTTTTATGGAGTTCGCCCAATGCATTACAATATCATGCTATTTTAATAGGAAGTCTATTCTTTGAAGAAGCTCCTTTTTAAAATTTTATGATCTTTTGTGTTAATTTTTTATACCACTGCCTTCTATTAGGGAAGTTAATCCCTAGAAATTGACCCTATTTAAAATTTTATGATCTTTTTGTGTTAATTTTTTATACCACTGCTTTCTATTTGGGAAGTTAATCCCTAGAAATTAACCTAGTCATTTTTCTGCAGAGTTCTTTGAATACCTTGGAGAAAAAGAACTCAGTGCTCGAGTGCGAACTTGTCAAGGCTAAAGAAGATTCTAATAAAACCATTGAAAAGCTGAGGGAAGTTGAACAAACATGTTCACAACTTCAGCTGAATTTGAGAAGGTATTGTTTCATTCTTAAAAGATTTATGGTGATCAATAGCTATCAATTCTTTTATTCAAAGAATTTGTTCAATTTACTAGATGACTTCACTGTTGTCCTATCGACACTGCTTGGTTTTGGGGGTCTCCTGTATGTTTTATTTTTATCCATTGAACTTTTACGAAGCATCTTATTTTTTTCCCTAGTTACAAAGCATCTATTTAACTGCTTCTATAAGTAATTCCAGATGTCAAAACTTCTTTGAATCTATATTTTTTGATTATCTGATCTTCAAATGTATCTATAAAATTCTTGAACCTATTTCATATCCATTTTCATTTCTTAATTTATTTGCAATTGTAGTTTGGAGGAGAAGCTCTCAAATTTAGATGATGAGAATCATGTCCTGCGTCAAAAAGCATTGAATGCATCTCCAAGGAGCAACCACCCTGGTTTTGCCAAGCCATTTTTAGATGTAAGTATTGACTTATCCCTTCATACATGCTAGATTCATTCAGAGATGCATGTATGTATGTTCATATATTTTGCAGTTTGCAACCTTCTAGTAGGTTAAGAGTTTTAAAACAGGTTACTTGTTCTGCTCTCCCTTTACTGTCACAGATAATTTTTGTAGAAAAAAATTCTAGGAGTGGTTGACTTGTACATAGTTAATTAGATTTATGATTAAGTCTTATTTTCTGATTAAACAGAAGTACTCTGGTGGTGCACTCCCTCTCCACTTTACTGATCGGAAGCCTGTTTTTGTAAGATTTGATCTGTTAGTCCATCTATTAATTCTGCACCAAATTTTATGCTTTTATTCTTACAGATCTATCATCTTTGATGCAGGAATCACCCACTCCCACAAAGCTCATAGCACCTTTTTCACAAGGATTATCAGATTCACGTCGTACAAAGTTAACTGTTGAAAGGCATCAGGTTTTATTCTCTTGTTGCTTATTACTATTTTTATTATTGTTGTTGTTGTTGTTGTGTGTGTTATCTCTATGCTACATTTTTATATCGGATTGAAAATTGAAATTATCATACAGGAGAACCATGAATTTCTCTCAAAGTGTATTAAAGAGGATTTGGGGTTTAAAGGTGGTAAACCAGTGGCAGCTTGTGTAATATACAGATGCCTTCTTCATTGGCATGCCTTTGAGTCTGAGAGGACATCTATATTTGACTACATTATTGAGGGTATCAATGATGTCCTGAAGGTAGCTTTCTTTTATAGGACTATTCAGCATTTCTTTCCCTTCATTGTTGTTCTTTTCTTTTCTTTTTTCTTTTTTGGTTTCTTACAGTATTCTGACATTCTATATATATCATTTGTTTGATATTTATCTTTTTTCCTAGTATATGTTTGATATTTATCCCTAGTAAAAAGAATATATATTATTGATATCAAGGAGTGCAGAGACAGAAGGATGAGATATCATTTTGAGGGAAAAAATGAAGTTCAGCAATATTGAAAGAAGCTAGAAAACCATAATTCAAGCCAACGCAACCTAATAGGCGTCGACTGCAATCAAATCTGAATGAGAGCAAAAATATCCCTTCAAAAGAACTAATCAGGAAGCCCTGTGTTTGCTAAAGATTTTACTCTCTCGTAGGCCACTTTAGGTATTCATCTAATCTCCATATCTAGGAGTGATGGAAAATTCATAAACTCTCTCAGTGGGTGATTATATTGCCAGCCAAGAGTTGTAGATACAACCTATTTGACCATTTTGTCAGAATTGCCCACAATAGAAGCAAGATCTCTACCCATAATAGGCAGATTAGGTGACTGGTCTTTACCTCATTTTATAGGAAATGGAAACTGGACAAAAGGATGATTTAAGGTGTTGAGGATTTAAATATTAAAGTTGCACCCTCTCTAATAACTAAAGCTTTTAGAGTAGATGGTTGTTAACATGGTATCAGCGCAGGAAAGCTACTGAGTTCAAACCTCAATGTCATCCTGATAATTTAAATTGAAACCCGTGTTGGACAATATAAAAAAGGTCACACGTGAGGTGGCATGTTAGAGGATTTAAATATTAAAGTTACATGTTCTCTAATAGCTTAAGCTTTTAGAGTATATGGTGGTTAATGGAAGGCTTTGATCTTCCTTATAAATTAAACTTTATTTTGGACAAAGAGCTTTGTTAGAGGTCGTCTTGCTACACACGTCACTTTTATGAGCCTTCTTGTTAGCAATAGTCCAAACCTGATCCTTAACTGTATAAGGCTTTGATAGAATTCAGTAGTTGTCGGGAATAATGCATTTCTCCCATGTAGTTGGGAAAAGACTTTCTTGAATTGGGTTGACTTTGTTGTAGCATTAGCATAGATCAAGTATAAATGTTGCTGGTATATTTATGATTTATACTGTAATTGTTATTTCAGGTCGGTGATGAGAATGTTACCTTGCCATACTGGTTGTCTAATGCCTCAGCCCTTCTATGTCTCCTGCAAAGGAATTTACGTTCCAACGGCTTCTTGACTGCATCTTCTCAACGCTCTGCGGGCTCTTCTACTCTGAATGGGAGGGTTGCTCAAGTGAGTTCTGTAGTTGTATATTAGAGCATGGTGTAATATTACTCTCACAAACAACATTCAATGTCTAGCACATATTCCATGAAAGAATTTCCTGTTATGTTCTTTCATTTTGAACAATTTACAATATATAAAGAACACTTTATACATTAATAGACATTTCTATACATCAAAAAGTATGAGACTGAATTTTGTATATCTGAGCAATAAAACAGATACACTTTACTGTATGTATTGCGGGCTCTTCTACTCTAAATGGGGGGGTTGCTCAAGTGAGTTCTCTAGTTCTATAATAGAGTATGGTGTATTTAATTTTACTCTCACAAACAACCTTCAATGTCTAGTACATATTCAGTGAAAGAATTTCATGTTATGTTCTTTAATTTTGAACAATAAACAATATTTAAGAACACTTCTATAAATTAATAGACATTTCTTTACATTAAAAAATATGAGACTGAATTAAACAGTGACAGTTTACTCTATGTATTTTGTACCAATTGAATCGCTATGTATTGGAGGATACTTTTATTGGCACTGAAAGTGTATATGAGTTGCCCGTTGTCTGGGGATTTATACACTATATATTCTGCTACATTTCTCTTTATATGTAAGCATGCTCTTATAAATGATGTATCTAAAGGATTGTCTTATTTAGGGATGTGATATCCACATTCCACACTCCATTTTTAATTCTTGCACTCCATGTGAAATTTTTAATAAAGAAAATGACACAATTGCCCCTCAAAATGGAGTTGGAGAGTAATTTTTGGATAATTGTGGAGTGTGAGAGCGCTTTTAAAGGTCAATTATGTCATGTTCTTTCTGAAAAACCAAGTGGATTATGAGATTACAAAGTGGAGTGTTAATACAATTTCCCTTGCTTTTAGCCGTATTTCATAAATGTGATGAAGTAGGATCTATTGATTTGAACAAGTTTAGTGTGAGCGTGGTGTCAGTGAGCTTATCAAACTGATAGTTTATTTTTTGCTTCTATACTTTCATGAGTTTGTTTCCTTTCATAATTGAATTGCATATATTTTGGATCTATCTAAAAAATAAGGACAGACCTACCCGAGTACCGGTATTGAAGGTTTTTTTTTTTTTCTTTCTAATTTGGATCTTAGGAGATGATTTTGGTTTTCCTATTGTTAAATAAGTTTATTTTATATAAAGTTACATGTTATTTGTATAATTACGTGTTTAAGAGGAACATCACTCCACTCTTCACCCTCTTTCCAAAATTGAAACTTTTTTCTTCTTTAGGTTGATTTCCATCCATTGCTGTCATTTCAGGGCTTCTACCTTATTCGAATGCACATTTGGTATGTAGTACCAAACTGCATGTACATGAAGTGACAGCTGCATACATCATACGCGTTTTTATTTTTATTTACTTCCCTCTAGATTTTTAGTGAACTAAATTGTTGATTGCAGGCTGCAGTGCATTAAATGCCACATCAATTCTTAAAAAATTGAAGTCGTCATTTTCATATTTATATTTGATCTTCTGATGCTCATAGTTGTAACAACTTCCATTATATTGTGATGCATGATTCCTAGTAACTTTCTGAGCCCATAACTTTTCTCTCGGCTTAATGTTTCTCTTATTTCATGCTTGATAGCTCAAGCTTGAACATAACACCAAGCAATCTCCCCTACTTATTTCTGAATTGTTCAGATAACCGAATTTGCATATGTTTGTATTTGTATGCATATAGATGTATTTGAAATATAACTCAAAATCTTGATTAGTTTTTTCCCTCTTTTTGCCTGCTTAATTAAAATTTTCTTGAACTTCCTTTTTACCTTCATGTTGTGGGTTAGAATTTTTTTATTTTATGTCTCAGAAACAATTGCTTCTCATGTTATTATCAATTATATAGTGAAGCTTGTCCTTGTAAAAATTATATCATTATTTGACAGCTTGTTGTTTACTCTTATAATCACTTGTTAGATCATATGCTTTTTGTAAATTGCAGTCCATGTGTGTATCCCCTCTCTTTTTGCTTGTCAGTAAAGTGATAACATGAATAAGTTCCATTAAATCTTGATTTGATCATTTGACATACATAAAATGTAAAATTCGTATATATATATATATATATATTTGATGTTTAGAATTGTCAGGTAAAGGTAGACAATTACACTTGCATTCCCAATGGTTCTCTGTCAATGGTATATTTACATTTACCGTCTGTTGCATAATGATTGCATTTACTCTTTTCTTTATAGCCAAATTCTTTATTGCTTATTATTTGATAAACCTGATATATTGATGGTCTCTGTTTGTTTCACCTTTTTAGGTTCTGAAATCTCCTTTCAAGTACATTGGATTTGAGGATGGTACCTCCCTTCTGGAAGCGAGGTACCCGGCTATACTATTTAAACAACAATTAACTGCTTGTGTAGAGAAGATATTTGGCTTGATTCGTGATAATTTGAAGAAAGAAATTTCACCACTGTTGGGTTTGTGCATTCAGGTCAGTTATTTTCTCGGTTATTTAATTTAATTTTGAATTTTGAATTTTGAATTTTAGCATTACGGTATACATTTTTTATTCACGGGATGCCCTAAGGTCCGTTTGAATTACTAAAAAATTGTCCTGTGGTTATAGTTATTATTTCAAGAAGTTGCAAAAAACCTACAATATTATGGCAATCTAGATTAGTTATTAAGCGATGGTGTAATTTGCTTGCTATATTATAGTTAGAGAAATGTCTTTTGATTCCATTTTACATGACCGAATGACATGAAGTAATCAGTTCTATGTTGTCCTAGATGTATAGGATCAGTCAGAAGAATCAATCCATTTTCGTTTCTACTCAATTGGGGACCGTATCTTCTTTTGAAAGCTGATTGTATCAATTCTATCTTACTCACAAACAGTTCCTGTTTTGGCCTCCCCTAGTATTACAAAATATAGGACTTTTTCCTCTTTATTCACTGGCTTACTAAACCATTTTAGTTGACTCATTGAAGACGAACACAACAGAAGATATTTACAATTAGGAACCTTGTTGTTTTTTCATATTTGAATACCATGACCAAAGTTTGATCTGCAAGAACATTATTGGCCTATGGTATGAATGCATATCACAGTCTCCATACTGATTGCAGCCTTTGCTGGGTGGATTTTCAGTATTCATATCATCTGTAGCAAGTGGTATTATATACCAAATATTTTTATCTGCCGCTGTTTGAAGTTATTTATTTAATTATGTGGTTTATATGATACCAAACCAAGATATTTCAGAGAAATTTAAGGCCAAAAAAAAATGTGTGTACATACATAAGGTTGTAACAGGAAATTGAAATATCGTAAGATTAAGAACAACTTATCGAGAGACTGGGACAGGCGTTCAACTTGCTCGCGAATCAGCAGAAATTTACCCACTCGAAAAACTCAACATATTATATAAATATGAAGAAAAATAACTGCACTTCAAATGCAAAAAGTATGAAATTTTTAGGGAGATGTAAAACAATGTTATTTGTACTCAGGGAGAAGAACTTTTTTTTGTTTTGGATAATTGTTAATGTAAAAGACCTCTATATTTATAGAGAAATAGGCGACTCTTAGCAACAGAAATTCTTTTAGGATTAGATATGACTCTTAAACACGACTTTTGGAAATCTACCAACATACACAATCTTTTATAAACATACACAACTGCTAAATAAACAATTAATAAATTTAATATTTCATTCACCTAAAAGTTCAAACAATGCCTCATATGAATGAAATATTAATAAATAAAACTATAATGTTGCGTTTGGTGTGCACGAATGGAATGGCCATTCCAACCATTCATT